ACGAGGCCCGGGGGGGGAGCCCACGGGTCATGCATGGTCAAGGGATCAACCGGGACCATCTCATCATCATCCGAAGCCAGGGAGACGGCAGTCTCACTCGAGCCAAAGCCACCACCAGGCAGAGGGAAGAGGCGCAGCAAGACATGCTGACCCGTAAGGTTCTCAGCCGTAGTGGTATCACTCACCGGGCGTCCCTGGACATACGGTCGCACATGCATCAGGAGACGGTCAGGGAGCGGCAGGGCCCAGATGAGCTGCCGAAGGGTAGCAACTCTGGGGACATGAAGCACGTGCTCCCTCCGCATGGGGTCATGGATAAAGACCCTCACCTCCGGTGGCACCAGGACGGGGGGAGGGGGCTGGGGAGCAAGTTGGCCTGGCTCCTGAGCAGGGACAACAGCCAAGTCATGTCCGGTCAAGTCTCCGGCTGACTCACGAGGGAGCCAGACACGAGCGAAGGTCGACACAGCAAGAAGGGGCAAGACCACAGGCGGAAGGCGAGCTGCCAGAAGGACCAAAGAGACAGCAGCCCCAACAGGGTACGTCACCTCGACACTCAAACCAGAGGGCGAGTGGAGCGTGGATCGAGCAGCACCCATGCGGTAGGGAAAGACCATCCTGGGAAAGGTCTCTTCACCAACAACAATTGGCGGTCCCTCCGCCTCGGCCCGCACAGGGGCCTGAGGGTGGAAGGCAAAGTCGATGAGCTGATCCAGAGCTCCAAGAAAGTACCATCCACGCACAACTGCAGGACGTAGGGCAACACCCCGAAGCCGATGGCGCCACACACGCAGAACGAGGTGCTCAGGTACCTCAGTAATGAGACCCACTGCACTCAGGAAGACAGTCCACGGAATGGCTGCCTGTGGTACTGAGATACAGTTACCCAACCCATGGAACACCTCCTCCAAGGTGGGAGGAAAGACAAGGGGTCGGACTGCCCCAAGCCACAGTGCCCACTGGGCAGGAGAGAAAAAGGCCGGACGGCCATCAACCAGGGTGAGCTGGGCAAAAAGGCCTCTGTCCGCCAGGGTAGCAGCGGCCAGGACATGCTGCTGCGAGTACCGAGCACAGAGTGTGCGCAGTGGCTGATCATCAGGGGCCAGCCGCCTCTGGAGGACCTCCTGTGCAGAGTGCTGATGGGGCTCAGCGCCAGGTAGGAAGGCAGGGTTGGTATAGTGCCGGAGAACCTGGTCATCAAGCAAGCGGGCAAAATCCATCTCGGGTGCCTCCTGCACCTGGAAGTCCTGGTGGGTCCACGGCACAGGCACGGGGTCACCAAAGGTGGCCGTAGGAACAGGCACCGACACCTCAACATCATACCGCAGCAGGGTGGCAAGCCAACGCCGTCTGGCACATGGCCCAAAGGTGGCATGGTCATTGGTCATGCACCAGTGAGTGATGGACCCGGTAGCCAGCCCACTGAACAACGGCAAGGATGATAGGGAAGTGCGGGTGATCCGGCAACCCATCAACACACTCCATGAGGAGAGCCAGAGGGGCAGCAGCCCGAGCCCAAGCCAGGGCGGCCACGAAGGACATGCCATGGGGGTCCCCAAGCCCATCCTGTTCACCAGCCCGGGACCAAGGTGGGCAAGGCGGAGAAGCCGTGGCCACGTGAGTGCCCACCCATGGGACACAATGCAGAAGACCACGGTCAGCCACATCCGCAAGGATCACAGCCTGGGTTGATGTGGGATCCCAACTGGTCAAATTGACCGGGAGCACACAGGGCACATCCAGCGCAACAGACAGTGAGGCAACTACCTGTGGCGAGAAATCCACCATGAGCTCCTGCTGGATGTCCAGTCCCACCAACTGCCTAATGGCCTCAGCCGCCTGACCCCATCCATGGAAGGACCCCGCAAACAGGTGGGTGACGGCCAGCGGAGCATCAAAGTCCGGGTCAGGGACAATCCAGACCTGTGAATCAAGGTCCACCAGGGCCACACGAGGCATGGTGCCAGCCACCAAGGACGCCCCTTTCACCCTAAAGTGACCGCCAGGCCGGTTGAGGAGGGCGGTGAACTGCACCGGGGCTCTCAGAAGCATCTCAAACATGAGCCGGCGCGTCCGGGGCGTGGCATGCAGGTCAGGCGGAAGGCCAGGAGAAAAGGCAGAGCAGAGCCACTCCGTAGGGGAGATCCCAGCATCAACCCTGAAGTGAAGGTCCGCACGGCCACGCCAGGCCTCAGGATCGGGATCCTGAAAGAACACCACCTCAGACATCAGGGCATCAAGTGTGGCCAGGGTGGTGGAAGAAAGAGCAGACAGGGCCCTCAGCACAGCCGGGTCCCGGGACAACATGGCCACAGACAGCAACGAGCAAAGCCCCAGCACACCAGAGACCACCGCCACACAGCAGAGCAAGCCAGGGGGGCCGCGCACAAAAGAAGGCGGGGCGCCACGGAGGAGACCGTGACTTGGTGGACGCCTGACGCACCGGGGAGTGTCGCCAGGCCCTGGGAGCCCGATCCCTGAGCCCTAATGGTTTTGGACCAGAACGGCTAGAAGGGTACCCTTTTTTCTGTAGTCTATTTTAGTAGGGGAACCCTCCCCCAAAAAAGGGTAAAAGGGCACTACTGGGGGACCTTGACATGTTGATGGTGCAAAACCGCACAATTGGCCCAAAGATTGCCTTCCAAAGGCAACCAAGAGCAGAGGAGTACTTCTGGAGGAATTTTGGGCCCAGCCGAGAGAAGTGGCAGAGTAGAACTTGCGGACAGCACCTTTCCAACCGCTTGGATATGGCCATGTGCTTGCGAAACCAGAAGGTGTCAGCCCCAAATGGGTAGTAGGGGCTTGTGTTTGCAAAGGAAAGCAATGATCAACCTTGGTTAGCTGTTTTGACACACCCCCAGGGAAGTCCCATCAAACCCCCCCACAAAGATGCCGCCGGCACAGCCCTGCCTGACTGGCAGCTTTCTTGCCCGCCTCGGTTTCAAAGTTGCAACCCCTGGCGCTACCACTCTGAGTGCTAAATACGGGATCTGGAAAAGTAAATTCAAATTGCGCACCGATCCCCTTTTCGTGTTCCCTTGGGTCGGTCAATAAGGTTTCCTTTGGGAGAATTCACAGATATGGGCTGGGCTATTCAGCACCCCGTGCTTGGGATAGTAGCAACCCCCTGGGTAGCTGGCATAAAGGAACAGAAGTGCTCTCGTCTCGAAAGTTACCAGCTGGTAGTGTTTGGTGGAGACAAGACGTTGTGGGATATATCCGTTGCAGCTTGCCCGACATACCCTGGTGCCTGCAAAGGGCCATCAAAAAGCACGAATACATCACAAGCAGTACCTGAAAATTTGTCTTGACTTTCTGCTGGGAAAGCGATCTGCTTTGCAACGTGTAGGGCCCCCCAAACCCCCCCCAAAAAAAGAGAGAAAATGAGGGCAGTGGCGCAGTGGCACTCTTTGCAACACGGGTGTATAAAGGCTCCTTTACATATAGGGGAGCCTGTTTGAAGCCTTCCAACTACGGACAGTCATTACTTCAAATGGCCAATATGCAGTCTTCAAACATTTGACAGTCGTTGAAGTTGACAGCCTTTTGGGGAAGCAAAAAGGACACTCAAAGCGAGCGCCGCCCAGGTGTTGCTGAAAGGGCGTCAAACGATCTGAGCAATCAGCACGACAACGCTCTGTGGGCATAAAGCACCCAGAGTAGTCGATGGGTTTGGGGGAACTCACACATACAACAAATAATAGTCATGATCCTGGAAACAATCAGAACTGAAACGAATGGCCCATGTGCCTTTAAAATTCATGGGATACATGTTAGTGGGCCAGAGGGTGCCGTAAGTTTACTGGCGCTTTTGTTGGAGCCGATGTTTGTTCAGCAGTTCATGTGGGCCATTTTCCCAACGGGAATCCCACCTCATTCCTTGCTGCCGAAAAAGTGATCTTTTAGATTCTGGCCCATAGGTTCAGAAAGAGGCTAAAAGTGATATCAGCATCAGTGAAATGCTCAACCCCGCAAGGTCTGACACCACGTGGGCATGTGTCACAATAGGCGGACGCTTGCCAAAACGGGACACCAAAACGTCCACTTTTTGCGCAAGTGGCCCAGAAAAAGAATCAAGAAGACGAGCTCAGATCCGGCCAAGGTGGCCCAGAAATCCCCCTTTTGGGTGCCGGGATCTCCCCCAACTGGGACAACCCAAGCCGAGTCCGATCCAAGGCGCGAGGATGTCCAGCAAGGTGGTCTTCCCGGATCCTGGAAATCCCCAAGCCGAAGCCGGATCGGCCATGCGACATGGAAGGTAGGAACCGGGGCATAGCCCGCAGGAAAACACGGCAAACAATCGCCCAAATTCCATGGGTTTCCGAGGTACCGTTCCTAAATCACATGTGTGTCAGGTGCCACGTTGGCGGGTAGCCGACAAAAAGGAAATCAGTAGAAACATTGGAGCGTTGATCACCTCACTCGCTTCGTCCAATGTGAAGATGTCCAACTCTGAACATTGAGTCAGGGCTCTGGAGCCGAAACCTGTTTGGGGGCTCCAAAGAAAAGCTGTTCAATTCTGATATGAGGGGGGCGTGTTTTGGTGGAATGAAAGGCAAACCAAAGGGAACGCATCGAAACTCCACAATTGTATAAGATATCCAGACGGGGCCAGTCCCCCCTTGAGAAAAAAGGGGAAGCCTACCCCTTTGGCAAATCGAAGGGCCGGGTGGTCAAAACCTGGGCGCATACGCCCTTTCAACTGCCTTCCCTCCAAAGAAATCACATAGGCAAACCCCTCGCATAGAATTGCAACCTTGGAACTTTTTCAAGGCCTAACCTAAGGCTATGAACCCACGGGGCTCCCTCGGTACAGCGTGGAGAACTGAGCGGCCAACGGATTTCCACTGACTTTGGGCCCTCCGGGTTGGTCCGAACTCAACTTCTTCGACTCAACCACCCCTGCGCAAACAGTTTCACTCTTCTCTGCGTGGGGAAAATCATGATTTCCCCCCAAAGATCCGACCATATAGAAGCAAAACAACTCGTCTTCGAAAAGTTCAGATGATATCGCACCACCTCGGGCGCTGGCCTGAGGGCCCCATAAGCGCCACCAGCTTCCCCGGCTCGTAGTGCCCGGAGATGGGCGCGAGGATCGTCTTCCGGCCGTCGCTCGAGGAGCTGCCTGGCGGAACCCGAACAACTTGGGGGAGAGGGGGGAGGGGGTCTGAACATAGGCTCCAAATACCCGCTTTTTTACGGGCATGTTTGTGGAAAACCTGAATTTCCATGGTAAATAACGCATTTATTTAGTAAAGGGTTGACATGATACCCTAAAAGCAATGGGCATTTGGAGTACGGGAGTACAGGGGAGGTGTCCTTTCTGGTGAAATAGATGGCCCTGGTAAATGGAATGAAGCGCCTCCGTGCCTCTCATTTCTAACAAAACTAACTCTAAGAAGGACTATGCGCCTCAAAGAAAACCTGAAACCCCAGGTGAGTTCCTTATCGCTTGTGGAGATATACAGCCCAGTGGCCATTTTGGAGCTCTTTGGAGGCTGGCATCCCGCAATTCCGAAATGTTCTGCGAAATCAAAAAACTAAGGTCTATATGTAGGGTTCGTATATGGACTATACATTCAGCCTGTGAAAACAGCAACTGGAATCAGACAACCGGAAGGTCAAAAGGTCTTGTCGCAACGGAGTAACTGGGTGCAACATAGGGGTCTGCAAAGCTCCCCGTTTGGCTTCCCCTTGGAAGAGCTCATCAAATGGGCAATGTAGCACCAAAGGCTAGTGCTTGCCGTCGCTGCGCTGAATGTTGCGCATTGCGTGGCGGCTGGAGAGGCTTCAGGAAGAACGTGTTCGCCTTTGTTTGTTGGCCAGCGAGCAAACGAAAAGTGGGTTGCCATGATTGCTCTTTGCGCGTTCAAAACTCCTTTTGCCATTGCGAGACGACTAACATGGTTGCCATGACGTCCCACCCGACAGGTTTGGGGTAGATGTTCCATTGCCAAGTGCATCCAGCCCGTCCACTCGGTGCCTGCCAGCAACCGCTGGCGTTTCCGCCTCTTTCTGCCCCTGAAAACGCCCCAAGGAACAACGTCCGCGCCTTCCAGGCCCTTCTCGCCCTTGGAAGAGCCGGACTCCTGGTGTCGCAGGTAGGAGCTCCGCGGCAGGGAGAATCCAACGTCCTGAAGCAACGCCAGCTGGTGGAGGAGCATTTTTTTGGCGGGGGTGACTTATGCTGGGCGCTAAGATCCGGCAAAATCAAAAATACCCACCCCCTGTTTGCTACGTTCCCTTTAGTAATTGTGTAAGAACTCTCATTTGTGGCTATTTCGCACCCAGAACCTGCGGAAGAACATAAATCACAGCATTCGCTTGTTTTGTGGCTATTTAGCACCCAGAAGCTAAGGAAGAACATAATTCACAATATTCCTTGCTGATGATGACTAAACTTGCTTTGAAAGTAGCCCTACAACCCTCTTCTAATAGCTCAGGCCTTTACATCAGGCATCCTGCAACCCACAAACTTCTGGAGGAAACCACCGCGAGATGGAAGGGGTGGGTCGCATCCTTTAAGCCATCGCTCCAAACAAAGATCCCTCTGGCTCTTGATGGAAGGCTCAACTCTCTTGACCCGACGTTCCTTCATCTCCCATCCACCACTTCACCATCATGATAATGCTGGAATTTGCCCTTCTTGGTTGCTTGAATTGAACACAAAGGGAAACTCGTTAGAGACACACCCCAGTTGCTCTCAAGGTTCCCATTCTGTGATACATGCGTCACCACCCACTTTGCCACTTGCAGGTATTCCCTCGGTATCGTAAGACGTTACTCGCTTCACCCCCCCCTTCACCTGGCGTGGCTTGCCTTTTGTCCCCCCCTCCCCCCCAAAAAAAAACAAAGCTCGCTTCCTCAGTGGATTGGCAAACAACAAAATGTCTTTTTGTTGACTGCTCCCCTTTTTTGTCGTGAAAAGGAAGACCACCATTTTGCGGGGGGGGCTGGGGTCCTTAGCAAAGACACACCCAAATGGCGTCCACCCGACAAAACTTGCTGGTGCTTGGCAGGGAATACGAAATGGAATGACAATTATAAACCATCCAACTGGTGGTTTCCTTCAAGGGGACCAAAGCCTGGGCTCATTCCCGCATTCCCTACCTATCGCACCAGCAAGAAAACGCCACCGAGGTTGCAAAAAAAGCGTCCTTGAAGGTGAGGTGCGCGATTCCGTTGGAGAAGTCCGCCTGGCACGATGAGAAGTCATGCGTTCAGCATGCCCCTTGCCTTGCCGGGGTCATTGATTTGACGGTTTCTGCGGGTTTGTGTGAGAAAGTCAGAAGCTGGTTGGTGGTGTCCCCACTTCAACCTACCACCGGGGTGACTTTGATAAGGGTAAAGGAAGAGGGCTAGTTGTGCTAGTGGGTAGGTGCCTCTGCCACATGCCGAGTACATAAAGGGGGTACCAAATGCATAAGTGTATGATGGGTACATGAAGGAGTACATAACATAATGGATACAACCCGGGTACAAAATACACCATGCATGCATAAGGCGCAGAACCATATTTACGATTGCAAGGGACATGTAATTATTGCCGTAACGTGGCATGCGGCGTTCCATTTTGGGGACAGTGGTGCGATGTTGTGCCACCTGAAGCTGGGTTGCCCCAAAATCCCAAGAACCCTTGAAATAAAAACAACAGGGGCCCCACACAAAATTGTCCACCCTTATGGCTTGATCGTTCGGAGCAGCCCAGTCAAATCAGTTTTGCTTTGCCAACCCCCTCTGGTGGTCTCAAGGACCAAGAAATGAACGGTGAATCTACGTCAATCTGTTCATATGGCGTGTGGGGCAACTAAGGTACCAAAAAATCAGAGACCACCAGGTGAAAAGGTCGGCTTTGGCCCACTTCACCCGCGTCAGCCCGTGACCTTTTCTGAAACCTAGGCGGTCGAAAACCGGAAGGCCGGGGTTTCTGGGCCCCGGTTTGACACATACCGGTGGTTTCCCTTTTGTCTTGGACCATGGCCCCAAAAGGGAAACTAACCTATGGCTCCAGGACACGGAACCCGCAAAAAGACAAACACGTGCTCTGTCAATCCATTCTTTTCCTTCCGAGGGCTAGCCTCACAAAGACAGTGACATGTTGAGCCCGGGGCGCATGACTCTTGAGAGAAGGCTGTAGTGGTTGGCTCGTATGTTTGTTTGACCGTGACATCTCATGAGCAACGGTTACCGAGTGAGGAAAGCGATCAAGCACGGGTGAAACTAGTTTGGGCAACGCAATGCTCGGCATGCACGAGGTCCAGCATAAGGCTAGTCATAACCATCAGCCTTTCAGCCGTTTCGTTTTTCCTTGCCAGTATCTTGCTTGAAGAAATCATGGCTTGGCCCAAATCTGGTTGACGCAAAACTGATATCTTCAATTGCTGTTTTGGAGTTTGAGTCTGCATGGGCATTCCCCACACATGGCTGGAGGGTTTCCTTTTAAAGCCCTTTAAACCCGTTCAAACTAACCCTCAGCTAAGCAGGCACCCTCGAAAACAATTTGGCCGACACCCAAATCTGCCGGTGCTCAGGGGATCAACCAGGACCTAGACATCCCAAAAAAACAGGGATGGTTCAGTTCAGTCCAACTCAATCCCAAGATCGTCGGTTTTCCTTTTGGGCTTCCTCTACAGAAACACCATAAACAGGGCACCCTCACCTTTTGTGCTTCCTTTAAAATCATCCGGAAAAAAAAGGGCGCCCTCCAAAAAAACAAACTCCATCCACCCCCCCACGTCGCCCCTCCCACAAGCACCTCCCGACCTCCGCGATCCGCGGCGCACCCCCGGCGAGTCGAATCCGTCGGATCCAAGGCGCGTCGCGCTCCACGTCCTCGGCCTCCCCGGTGACCGCCGCCAAGTCGTCCAGGCTGCGCCTTCCGCCGCGCTTCCGCGCTCGGCGAGAGGCGGAAGCGCGCGGGGCGAAGAAGAGAAGACGGGGAACCATTGAATGGGACCCGGAAGGATTGCAACCGTTTCATGGTGTGCCCAGAATGATTGCAGGGTGATTCCCCTTTTTAAGGGTAGTTTGAGGGTGCAGGGAGCCGGTACCCATGAAGAAGATTGCAAACCGCTACGCAGAATGGGGATGATCGCACCCTCTTTCAGGGTAGTTTCAGGGTCCGGGAAGCCATTTGGGGGTGTCCTTTTTGAGGCTTGGAACCCTTTCGGGCGGTGTCAAATGGAAGGGGAAACCACCCAAAAAAAGGAGGAGGGGGCCCTATTTGAGGCACGCCCGCTTAAGAAAAATAAAACAAAGTTTGAACAGCTTCTTTTGGTTTGTTGGCGGCCAAAACAAGGCGGCTGAGTTGCTTTTTGCGTAACCCTGGCATTAGCCTAACCCTGGCACAGCCTGGCGTGCATGAAAGCAGACACTAAAGGACCAAGGTTTGGGGTGGGTTTAGGCCAGGTTTGGGGTAGTCCTTTTAGGGTAGGTCGAGGTCCGGCATCGTTTTGGCCACCTACTTTAAACCACCCTAAAGTCCACTTAAACACAACCACGGCCGAGGCCAATTTTAAACCCACCCTAAACCTACCCGAAACCAACCCCAAGAAGCCCCACCATAAACCAGCACTAAACCATCTACCTCAAGTAAACGGACTACCCCAAACCTACCCTGAACCCATCCCAAACCTTTGTCCCACCGAGCCGCCAACCAACCAACCAACCAACCGACCAACCGACCGACCAACCAACCAACAAACCAACCAGCCAACCACCTGCCCTCTGCCAGGGCTATGCAAAAAAAAACAAAAACCTTTCTAAAATAACAAGGCCACCAACAACAAAATGGGACTTTAAGTAAGAGTGGACTTCACATTTCAGAACTGGGACTCTGGACCCGGAACTTCAAACTCTCGGCAATGGTTTGCTGGGGAAGTGGGGGTCTTGCTGGTTTTGTGAACCGCTCCCCCCTTTACAAGGGCCTCTTTTGATGGCTAAATACTTGAGGAGCGGGTGAACGAAAGCTAGCAGTTGTTGCGTGAGATGGGTCGGTGACAGAGTGGGTTCATAGGTAGCTTGTGCACAACGAGAGGCCCGGCAAGATTCGTAGGATGCGACACGCAAACGCACATGGTGGCGTGGCAAACCTTGAAAAAGCACCTCTGGGTTCTGCATGCTGCGTGTGCAAAGATTCTTGCGAGGTGGTTTACTGGGAAGACTGAGGTCTCAAATGAACAAGCTGAATCGGTGGAACATGTAAAAGTTCGTAGCACCAAGTCCAAAACGGGCAAACCGAGACTGCTGAAACACTGAGCCACTGCCCGGGGGGCGGGGTGGACCAAGGAGGAATCGAGCCTGAGACGGGAAGGGGGGGGGGGAGGGGGGGGGGGGTCTAAATAATTGATGTTTTTCAATCTTTTCGGCTGAAATAATTGAAAAAATCGATCTTTCGGCAGTTGAGCCCCTTACCTTGCTTACGCAAGGAGAAACTTCAGCTAGCTAAAGCTAGCTTTCGTGATCTTCACAACACACGGGCTCTGTCTCCGACATGAATCAGCTTGATCCTGGCGCTGCAAAAGGAACTTCGCCTTGTCCCACATCTGGAGCACAGAAAAACATGTGTTCAGATTCTGCTTCAGATTTAGTCCCTATACCACAAAACCATTTCGGAGGAGACCAATGAGGCTCGTCCAATTTTCGGACTTGTTCAAAGCCCCTTCGGCACATTCTCTCTGCCACCTCAAGCATGGGCTTCCCATCGCGGAGATCCCAAGGGCCATGTCGATTCTCAGAACCGGTGAGCTCGGAACCCGAGTTCAAATCAAGCGGATCCACAATAACTCCGCATACGGTAGAAAGCACCCCAAAAAAAATTGACCCTGCCTCCTGGAAAACAAAGGCGAACGTCGGCGCAGGTCGGCGAATCGGCGCGGTGCTTTGTTTGGCTTGCTTGTGTCTGCCTCCCTCCCGACCGCCCCAGAGCCGGCCTAATCCTGGCGTGGAAGTAGTCCTGCCAGGCGAGACGTGGGTGTGGGGAGCCCCCTTCTTCGGTTTGGGGGAGGCCGGTTTTGGCTTATGTGGGTCCCTAATTTGGAGACACCCAAGTTTGGACCGGTTTGGAAGGGTGGTTCAAAGCAAATTCCTCTGTGGGTCCCCTAATTTGGAGACACGACATCTCCGGGATGCTCCAGGCAATCTAGGCAAATTACTCTAGCAGAACTGAAATCAGGAATCCCCCAGTAACCTTTATGTGTAAGCCCAGCCCCGACCCGCTCGCAATAAACAGCAAATGGGATCAGAACGAACAATTATATTGCCAGCATATCTAGATATACCGTCTAGCTCACCTGTTCAGTATACTCAGCTGTGTGCATCAACCTAGACGCATGTCGCCTCTTGCTGCTTCTTTCTGGCACATGACGGAACACAATTCAACGCCAAGTGGCTTTACCACAGGGCGAGATCAACAGTTGCCCTTTCCACAGCCGCTGGACCAACACCGGCAATTCGCCAATCCAAACCCTGAGGCTCACTTCCTGAGTGGCTTGGCCAAAAAAAAGAGACAGGTTCTTTCCCAAAAAATGGCCACCAAACCCAAAAAGTGACGACCAAGTCAGAAGCGGAACTCAGGGAGTGAGGAGACCTCCCGTCCGGGCAAAACCACCGTGGGCGCGGCACTGGTAACTTAGGTCTTGGTTGTTCCATCCAGATCACTGGGCTGAAAGGCGCACCTCCCATGGATCCCACCCTAGATGGGAACAGTTCACCCACCTTGGCGTCATCCCTCCGCACTTGGAACCCAAGTGAACACAGGGATCCTTACATTATACACCTGAACATTGCCTTGTAAATGGTGGTTTCCCGGTTTCCCTTTATTTTGGTGGAAAAAGCCGTGTTTCAAATGGGCAACATGTGAACATGTCCTGGAGTCTCCAGGAAGCGGTGAGGTCGGTTGTTTGGTCTTGGCAGCGCTAGCTTGGCAGTTGAAGCCTCAGCTTCTTAGATGCCTCTGGGTTTCACCGACTCTTGCACTGTACCACTCTTTTCGCACTCTTTCGCGGATGAATCAGCCGGGGCACCCTTCAAGCGTGCAAATTAACCAGGTGAACCCCGAAAAACGGGGGCAGGCCAGGGATAAGGACACACTAAGCATGGGGTAGTATAAGGGCCTTAAGTAAATAGGCACGCAGTATCACTTTTGAGGACCTTATGTTAAGTTCGCCTAATAACCCGGACCGACTAATCCAAGGGGGCCTTTCTCTCTCCTTCGCAACGGAGGTTCCCCTTGTAAGGAAATGACCCAGGGCAAACCTCCAGAATCTGAAGCTTACCCTCCCACCCTTTTCACATGGAACCTGACGTTCGGGCCCTGGTTTGGACCAATTTCCTCTTAACACAAACCCCTCTGTCAGGTTAAATGTGGCCATGGGTCAAAATCCCGTACCCCCACCAAAGTAGGTTCTAAACGGGGTGGTGAATTCACATGCCAACCAAAATGATACCAAAACGGCTTTGACAACCACAGCCATGTGAAAATTGGGTGGCATGCGAAAATTGGTGGGAGGGTAAATATAGCCCGGCATAGTCAATTAGTTTGTTGTTTTTCTTGGTTTTTTTAACGATGGTGGGAGGCCAACCCCTTTCGTTCCAAGGACGGGCCGTTCGGCAGCCGCGCGATTGGGCTCGCGCCTGTACCTCCTGCGTCGTCTGCCGCGCGAAGGAACGCGACCCGCTCCCCGCGCCTCGGGCCACGATTTTCAGGGCCCGGCAGAAACTTTAAGAACCCAAATCTTGGTTTCTGTTGACCCCTCTGCAAAAACCTTTCCACTTCTTGGTGGGTTCTCCTGCAAGAAGTGAATCACTTCTTGTGGGTTTGGTCGAAAACCCAACTTGATTTCAACCAAAAGTTGAAGTCTAAAGATCCGTTGCCCAAGAGCAGTCAAGAAATGAAACCCATGATGTCCAGAGGTGCAGCTCCCTTTTGGCCCCCCCTACATGTTTAGGGGTCTTTTAAAGGATTTCGGCCAGTGAAAAATGATCCTTGGCCCCACGTCCACAAACCTTTTAGGGGCCCTTGGATATGTCAGCCAGTGAAGAATTTTCCTTGGCCGCGTGATTTAGAGTATTTCCTTCTAGCAGGCGGCATCCTTTGAGCTCCGCAAATGGGTCTCCCGGGCAACGGACACCAACCGGAAGGGGTCCCCCATTTTTTTTCACATATGGGTGCTTTTTGTGAGTCGGTACCCGTCCGGGGGGGTCCAAAAGGCAAGCCAAAACAGGACGTGTTTCTTTCTCTCTTCCTTTTTTTTTGGGGGGGGAGGGCCTGTGTTTGAAGCAAACGCACATGAACCTCAAAAACTATGATAGAACTGGGTCGTCGCCCTTGGTTTTGTGAAGCCAATACCTGAACCGTTATTACTTCGGGAATGCCCTCATCAGAACAATGCCTGCCAATATTCAACCTGGTGGAGTGTATTGAAGGTGCTTCCCCTAATCCGCTCCAACTCAACTGGGGGTTTCTCAAAATGATCCCCTAAAATGGTTGCACGGCTTTGCCTTTGGTTTCCATTGGCTACCAACCGAAAGGGGGCCCTTCCCACCGTTGAGAGAAGCACTCAAGTGGTGAGGTATCGGACGCCTGGACGAAGGGTGACATGTTTGTTGCTAAACCATTGCTGAACGGGTGGCAAGCTGCAAAGGGTAGAGGTACAAAGGGGAAATCGATAGATTTCTCTGGTACACGGAACAAAACCCATCTAAACCAGTGGAACCCCCTTAATTTTAACCAAACTGACCCATAAAAAGAAATTGACCCATCAAAAGGACACCAAAAGGTCGCTCTTCTGAACCGATTCATCGGTCCATTCTAATTGTCCATCAAGACACCTGTACACAGCAACTCTCACACTCTCATGTGTTTCATTCTTAATTTGCACCAACTGGGTGTGTCTTTCTTAGGGGACCCCCCCCCAAAAGAAAAATTGTGGTTTGCTTGTTGAGTTCCCTTTAAAACACCAAAAACTGGTACCAACTCAAATCAAGAGGAAAAACACACCATGTTTCGCTTTCAGCGGGATTATGGACCCCGAAGGCGACCACCGAACCGCTGAGTACGCCGCCTTCCTCAACTTCCGCCGCAGTCTCCATGGCGCTGACTTCGAACGCGGCAGGCGACGCAAATTTAACGAGTTCGCTCGTTCGAGCCAAATGGCCATGGGTCAAAATCCAAGTCGTGTGAACATCCGAATCCGCACCAAAATCGACGAAAATGGGGGGCGCACGTATCCCAAAATGGTACCATTGGTTTTGAACCGTGGCCAGATGAAAGCGAGAAGGACCCATACATTTTGGGTGCTGTAGATACCCCAGCAAAAAGTTGAACTTTTTGCTGGTTAAAAGGAAATATGAGGGGAATCCAAAAAGTTAAAGTCTAAAGATCCAACCCAATAGCAGAAGAGACATGACGCCAAGTACACACCAGGCCTTCCAAAGGAAGACGGGAATGTCAAAAATGGGGCAATCAAAACGGAACCCCGGCAAACGGAAAATTAGACCACCTGCAGTGCCTCGACTGAACATATGTGAAACAAAAACAAAAAACATGGAGGCGCATGTCAGACTCTTACCCAGGTCTTGCCTACCGAAAGCTGCCATGTTGTCCTGATGTCAAAGCCTCCGGGGCCCAGCAAGGCTTGCTCAATCAGGTTTTTTTTAGCCCCAACGCCTTCCATTTGCTTGTTCGCCCCCTGGAGAAAATGAGAAAAGATGTCCAGTAGTGATAAATCGCTTTAAAACCAACCAGGGAGCTTGTAAAAAAAACAAAAACATGGAAGAAATCGGGTCCCAGTGGAGTTCCGCGGAACCGTCTCAGAATGAATAGAACAAACTGGGCACCGCTGGCCATCACTGGCCCGAGCAAATGCGAGGAACCGGGCAAGACCAAGAATTGGGCCGCGTTTAAACGCGAACCACCAAAGGTTCAAATTTGTCTCCGTGTGGCTTCCCCTCTTATCAGCTTCCCTCTTGGTGCTTTCAACCATCAGCCACCAACGGTGGTTTGGAAAAGGAAGCCAACTTCGGGTCAAGAACCCATTCCAACCGTCAATGGCCTGGCCCAGTACAACCATGCCACACCAACCCGGCAGCATTCTTGCCCACAAAGTGCGCCAAACTCGCCCGCGAAAACCCTGCTCCGCTCGGCTTTTCCGGAAAAGCCGAGTGTCTCGGGTCAGCTTCGGACCAGGCAAGCCTGCTTAAATTCTTCCCTAAAGCATTCAGAAACCGGCAGCGGGCCCTTCAGGTTAAATTTGGCAAAGGCCATGTAGCCAAGCCATTTGCCCCACTTGCGATGTTTTGTGCTCTGGGCGTTTCACGGCCGGTATCAAGGCATCGGACAAAATCCGACCGATCCTAACCGCCAAAACGAAGCAAGGCGGAAACAGCAACTCTCTACGCAAAATGATTTGTGCCTGCTCCATCACCACTTCCTCAGCGCGGGAACGAAAGTGCGGGGCGAAGCCGCGTGTTGGGAAAACCATCATGCACCGAGCCAGCCAGCTGCCAGAAAAAGGCCAGCCAGACAAGGTGTCCAATCCATCCTAAGCAAGCATCTGACCAACCAACCGCAGGCACAGTTTCTTGTGTACCTTCTGGCCTTCCAACCCCTCTAAGGTATGAGGGGGCTGCACTGCTTCTTCGTTGTGCTCACTGCGTTGAACAGCTCGAAAATAACTTTATGGAGCGTTTCACTTCCCACAAACACACATCTGGGAAAGATCAAGTCCGTGCCTGTTGTTGCGGCTCGGCCCATTTTGTTGGGTTCTGCTAAAGGGAACCCGACAACAAATTGTCCGGGAATTCCATACCACCGCTGCTTGCAGGCCAGCACGTAGTTTGCTAGCTGGCAAGATCTCAAAATGCAACCAACAGTACAGAAAATGGGTCAAGTCATAATCAAAACAGATCGGTATTCAAATGGTCGACAACCAGAACCCATATGAAGAGTTAAACAGGCGGATATCCGCATATTATGGCAAGGGAACTATCCCTTAATCTTCGTCTACCGGGCTTTGATTGTGGCTCAAATGGGCCCCTGGACTCTTTCAACTTGGATTCATCAAGGAAGCGACAACTTGCATGCGTCGCCCAATTCGTTGGCTCCAAGCCACTCCTTTGCGTCCAGCATGCCTCAGCTGATCAAAGGGCCAAGCCTTTGGCCAGCAGTCCCTCGCTCGCCAACCCTCTCTCCTCGCCGACTTTGGCCATGCTGGCTTCAAAACATGTGCAAGCTTTGTCCCAAAATGAGTCCGAACCCACCAGAGAATCGGAAGGATAAGCTTGAGCGGGGTTTAAAACCAATTTTGGCCATGATAATTGAATCATGGGCCATGGGGGAACAATGCGTGAAATTTTATTGCCCTTCACATCAGCCACGTTTCCCCAATGGAGGACGATTCGCTCATGTGGCATGTTGCTTGCAAGTTCGCCGCGGCGCACGGTCGCTCCTATGCCCCCTCACCACCCGCTACCAAGTCTCGCCCTTTCCAGTTTGGCTTTGAGCTTCGAAACAGCTCAAAACCTTTGCAACTTAGAGGGTTTCGCCAAGGGACACCCAACCGGTTTTTTGATCAGCGCGTCTGGCCTGACTCAACTACTGGGAACCCTCAGATGAATCAATCACAGTTTAGGATTTGGGCTCGAGAACACCTCCCGCTCAATGCGACGGATTCTACTTCGAGGAGTCGGAACATGGTTTGCCTTCTCCACAAGGCATAAAGAGCCCCCCGGGTCTTGTAGAAGGCTTTTTCAAGGGAGGTTGGTCATTTCGATGGCTTGGCCAAACCCCGGATTGCTCTGGGCAGGATCTCCCTTCATATCCAGGTTTTTGAAGGAAGCCTTGCTCTGATGACTGGTTCATCACTTGGACAAGTCGGACAACCCGCAGCACTGGAGAAAAAACACTCAAAAAATATCCTTGGCTGGATGTTTTATTCTGATGCAAAAGCAGCCAGCACGAGGCCTGAGAAAAACCGTCGCACCTGGGCAAACTCGAAAAACCAAGAAAAGCCGTTGTGTGGATTTTCCGGATTGGAGCCACAAAAAGTGATTCACTTTGTGCAGAGCGATCGTTGCAGCAACCAAGTATACCTCCCCGTTTGTCTTCACCATATCCAACCAAGAACCAGCTTTCGCTGGCCCCAAATGGACATACCCCCAAAAAATAATGGTTATACATGCTCAATACGGGGTACATAACCCAACATCTACTTTATACAAGGGCCGGTAGATGGGGTATGTCCATTTGGGGTACGTAAGTTGGCCCTTACGTGATTCACCAAGTTGGCCACCAAGAGATGATGTGTGAAACCTGCAAGGGGGATATCAAGCACAAAAGTTAAAGTCCGAAGATCCGTCACCGAACAGCCATAAAGTCTAGGTCCTCCAGAGAGGTTTGAATTAAGGATACCTTCTTTTCTTTTCTTTGTTTCGGCAGTCGATCTTAGTATCGGAACCCTCCCCCAAAAAAGGGGTGAGAAAGGGCAGCGCTGGAAAACCTAGAAGAATAGCCAACCGTCATGGCCTCATGGGCTCGCTCCACGCTTTCCGAAAAAAATCGGACTCGGCGGAGCTTTGGGCGTGGCGCGTCTGAAGATGCCGCCGGGCTTTGCGGCCACCTCCTTCACCGAGCCCTGGCGTTCTATCGCGGCCGGGGTGGGGGGGGGTGGGGGGGGGGGGCATGTGAAACACGACAAAATCGTTTTTCTAAAGTTGGATTCCCCATTCTCTTCGCCCACCACCTATTTTCCAGGGTTTGGCAACCGTTTTTGGAAGAGAAGGATCCCTGAAATGGGGAGGGCAAAGCTAGTTGTGTTTTTTGCGTGTCTGAACAAACCCCAGGAAGCAGGTTGCCGAGAGCTCTCCCCCTTGCTTCAACTAGGTCCCCCCGTAGTGCCCTTTTACCCTTTTGTGAGGGAGTCTTCCCCTACTGAAATATGAAGGGTACCCTTATTCTAACCTCTCTACTGGAGGACCTAGTCAAAATCAATCTAAGTCATGATCACAATAGCCGACTGCGTCTCAGTCCCTGAGCTCCTGGGAACTTTCGACGTGGGACGGTCGCATGAAAAACGGTGGCACGGCAAAACAAACATCAAGACACATGGAATTGGCCAGCTGCTTTGCTTCCTGAGGTTTGCTATTTTACGGATTTGGACTGAGTTCAGTCCCAGGAAAAGAGAAAGCCCCATATTCATCAGCCAACCTGTCATTTTTAATAGGGGGGGTGCTTCGCACTGGGTGAAATGTGGGGAATCAGACCACTTTTGGAGGGGAACACCTCCCAATTACCACTATAGGGGCTCGTTACCTCCAGGTGTTGCATGATCGCTTGTGTTGAAAGGAACGCACCTCACAAAACGATCGGAGTGCAGGGTGGTTTGTTTATCCTTCGGGCCCCTGCTAAAACCGAAACTTTCGGTGGGATCTTGAAACTCCCTCGGAGAAAAAAATAAAAAGATTGAAAGTCGAATATGGCTGGGAGCCGCCAAGTCATCGCCTAGAAGCCCCTCACTATGGACACATTTTTCCCGACCAAACGGCGGGGACTGCCGCCTGACAGTCCCAGGATGGCCCCCTGTGGCCCTGGTAGAAAAAAGGGACACGTGTCAGGTGGGCAACCCACCAAAACCAAATTCGGAGAAAAAAGGCCGGGGGTGTGTGGAAAGGGTACTAGGGTGGTTTCGAAGGCAATACACCCAGTTGTCTGATTGTTGTTTTTTTTTTGGTGCGGGGGGGGGGCTCATGGGGAAGCACCGATTCTCCTCACCCGAGGTGTTCCCAAAGGGCGAGCCCGCCGTCGCACGCGAGAAACAAATTCTCCGCCTCTTCTGCCACCTTGCCGGCGTCCAGCACGACCACCTGCCAAGCCCCGAACGCGTTCCAAGCCAAGACTCCATTTGCTTTTTCGTCCACTGGGAAAAAATGCGAGAAAAATATGTCCGGATGCGAAATCGATTCCCTGAAGAACCAACAAGGTTCCATAAGGGAACATAAACATGCTCTTGGTCTTGGGCGAATGGAAGAAGCTGGGCCACCGAACTCTGGATTCACTTTCCAACCCGTGGTATGGCAGCAAACTATGTGCTCGTTCGCTGCCCCTTTTCAAAATCAACAGGAGCCACATACCTGAAAACCTTTAAACACATGCCAACAACAGTGAAGCTGAATAAAAGGACGGTTCAAATGATGCTTTCTGTTTCATAATTTGTCTTAACAACCAGACACCACGCTGCGAAGGGACAACCAAATAGGCCTAGCATCAATCCCCTAGTGATATTGGTCACTGAGATGTCCAGCCCCTAGAACTTGGAGAAGGAACTTCCCCCCGCCCCTTGGCCCCTCCCTTGCACCCACTACATGGAAAGGTCCTTTGATCAGTACTGGGATGCCCCCCGAAAAATGTTCAAACCCCAAAGGGGAGGAACACACCAGCTACGCCCAATTCGTCCCGCGCCCTGCCTGGTCGAACCTCGGTTCAGCCAACGGAAGCTTATTTCGGGGCTGCCTTCCCCTGAAACGACCACTGCGAAGGTAATCTTGAGGATCCAACTTGAAACCAGTATGTCCATGACTATGTCTGCATGTTTTGTGTGAATAAAATCATCATAAAAAATAAAATATATTTTTGTTATTATAACAAAAAAAACTGAGGGGGCAACAAACCTGAGGTTCTCACTTTCCCTCGCCCAGGTTGACACACCCTTCCATGGGCGCTTGGCAAGTGCCGTGGCCTGGGTGTGGCTCCAAACCCCACCCAATGAAAAGCGGGGCATGGGTGACTGCTTGCAAAAAATCAAACGAGTTTCCCTGGAAAATGGCATGAAACCTATGCAAACCAATATGAAACCCACCTACGTTTAACCAAACTGACCCATCAAAAGCACACCTGTGTTTCAAAGTTGCAATCTGTCCGTTTGGAGTGCCGTGCAAAGACGGCTCTAGTAAAAGGCCATGTGATTCGCCATCCTGGTCTCAACACGTGCTCTTGGCCTCCTTTAGGGTTTTTCTGACTTACAGAACTCCGATCGGTAGCTCCGAAAACCTCCCTCTTCAAAGGCAACAAATTGGATACCTTCAGCTTACTAGCTCCACTCCAACAACCAGCCAGCTGACTATTTGGAATACCCCCCAGTTTGCTGTCCAAGGGCTCCCTTCCCACTTCCCCTGCTGGCTGCAGTCAAATGACTCCATGATCGTCTCCAAACGATGGGCCACCGCCAGCATTGTGGAGGTTGGGAAGGCGTGGTTGATGGTATCCTGCACTGACTCCTGAAGGCCGGGATTGGATTGACGGGACAGGACAGTTTGATCGACTCAAAATAAACGCGCCTGGGCAGCTGGTGCCGCTGGTGGCGTCCCCTCCTCTTCATAAGCCGTATGGCAAAGCAAAACATGAACCCTGGTCTACTGGCATAGCCAATGGGTTGAGTTGAGCGCGTTTGTCTCAAAATGGGAACCCCTCCAAGATGAACTTCAGTATTCTGGTTTTCCCTTTGGAACCACCCCCCACCAAAAAAAAGAAGTCCGACTCCAAAACAGAGTGGGACCCCCCGCTGAGCAACCGCAGGCTTCACGGGCACCTTTGCAAGGGGGAAACCCTCAACAGTGGCGGGCGGACATCCACGCCTAATGCCCACGACGGGTTGCCAATGAACAAGCCCAAGTGAGTCATAATGAATGCCTCGTATTGAAGTGGCCTACCCAAAACAATATAAAGAGCCAAAAGGCCGGCCGCGCATTTTTGTGGCTGGGACTGTCCCTTGACCTGCATCTGGCCAGGTTTTGATTGTAGCTCTTGTGACCCAAGCTTCCTACTAGTGTCAACTTCGGATTGATCCAGCGCACATCCATATGGGCGGGTGTCTAAAATGAGGCTTGTTCCTTTAAAACGACCCAAACAACTTGGTTGCCGTTGACCCCTCGGCAAAAAGTGAACCAACTTTGCGTGGTTGAGTTCCAAAGATCCGTGACCCAATAGCCATAAAGAAAGGGCACCCTCAAAAGACAGAAAGAACCCCCAAGTGGGTGCGTACCAAACCAAGGGCAACCCTAACAAAGCGACAGACATCCCACCCCCCAGCAAGTGAGCCGCTGCGGTATGTCCTGAGTGGCCGGGTCGATGGCCGAAGTAGCCTCATCCAGCAGCAGCAGCGCAGGCTGCCTGAGGCGACACTGGCTTGGAGGCTTGGGGTTCGGGTGCCCCCCCAAACGAATTGCTGGGTGTTCCAAAGTGGCCACCCTAAACAAAGACACACCCATATAATATGGGTGGCCGATATAGTGGTTTGACAATGCTTAGTTGACAGGTTAACCTTTTTGGAGCAATGACTAGATTTCGACCAAACCAGGAAGACCAAAAGGACAAAATGGACAGCTGAGTTTTAGGCTAAAAGGGAAACCGAAAGTAAGCGCGGGTTGTAATCATATTTTGACCCATACCGAAAGGGTTGGAATTCAGGGTGAAAGCAGATGACCAGGAATCCACAAAGGGGGGTGGAATTGCACCATCTACTTTCGCCCTCAGCATCCTGGAAGGTTGGAATGTTTCTGAAAAGCTTGCTGATTCGCAGGGAATCACGGGGAATCAGCAGACGTGATGTAGGAATGAACCAACGGACCCCTGCTTAGAGGATCTGTAAGCAAAACCATAGGGGCACTGGCCTTGTTGGAGAAGCCAAACCCGGATCTAGGACGCTGCCCTGCAAGCCGTGGATGATGAAAGGGGACCAAGTGCCAAGTTTGTCTTCCTAACTGGGCTGCCCTCAGATCCCTCGCCAAAAGTTAAACTTTTAGTGGGTTAAATGGAAATTACCACTAAACACTAAAAAGCTACAAGGCTAAGGGGATGGCTGGAAGCCACCAAGCTGGAATGTTTGAAGTTCGGCAGGACTGTCACTGGGACAGTGAAGAGGTTAGGATCTCTTGCGCAAACACGAAAAAAGCTTAAGCCGAGTCACACTCAACACCTTGTCTTAAAGTGGCTTACCAACAATCATACGTAAAGAACCACAAAGCACTTCCCCGTGGTTTGCCCGTCTTTCCTGTCAAAAGATCCCAGGGCCGGGCGTGGTCAACCCAATGGCCAGGGGATAACTTCCTACACCAGGGGCACGTGAGGCCTAACTAGGAAGCGACCAGTGCCTCGCAAAGGTGCAATTTGGCACTTTGCAACTGAAAGTTTTGGGGGCACACAGCATGCTTTCTTGCTGGTTGGCTTCAGGGCGAATATGAACACGTGTGCTAGCCCAAAACGGCAAACAAACCAGCGGCGCATACACCAACCCTCCCGTTATGCAAAATAACCCTAAAAGTTGCATCTGGTTTCCTTCTGGCGTCCATGTTGGCATCTCGAAGGAGTTTCTCGACGGTCTACGGCTGTGGGCAAAAAATCAAGGATGCAAAATTAAGAGGAATCAAGGATTTGTTTTTTTCCTTTCGAGACAAGGATCACACCATTCCGCCCCACCCCCCTCCACGCCCGGCCTCAGCACCATGCGCGCCAGGCACAGCAACTGCCGCTGGCCGAAGCTCAGATTGCCACCTGGATCCACTGATCTCTTTGATCTTCACCCATTTGAACCGGAAAACATGCAAGCAGTGAGGTTTTAGAGATTTGTTTACATGAATCTACCTGGGTGTTAGAGAGATTTTACATGAGTGAATCTACATCAATTTCAAAGGTCAAAAGCGATCTCAGCTCTTGCTCCCCCACCCCCCCCCAACCAAGGTGCACATGTGGCCTGCGTTTGCCCCACAAAATACATCTGTTTGGCGAACCTGAAAATGCAAAATCATTTCAGAGATGGGGTGAGGTTAGAACTTGTTGAGATGGCAATCTGCGTCACAAGAAAAGCCAGCAGAAATGTTGGTGTTTTGCACAAATTAGGGGTCCCACAAAACTGTGGGTTTCTTTTTGGCTTCCCTGTGCTTCATCATTTAGAAAGGGTCTGCCATGGTCATTTCGAGAAACTCCCATGCCCCAAGTTTGTTGGGATGCCAAAGCCAAATCCCAGCTTCAAGCGAAGGTCATCTGGCAGTGGGTCAAAAATGGGTACCCAAAATGGGCTGCCCTGATAAATGGAACCCAGGACGAAAACCTGCGGTCCATATTAGAGTCCATATCCTAGTGGTTTAATTTTGATGCCCATCTTTCCCAGCGAAAGTCCCGTCCAGTCTCTGGCCGGGAATTGGGGTTGGGGCGCTCAAGTCTATGGGACCACCGGTCACCACTCCCGTCACGGCTGCGCAGGCTATGAGACACCCAGTCCCACATACGGCACGTGGGATTCATGGGATCAATCCATGGGCCTTGCCCGGCTACAGCGTTAACAGCAGGTGGTTTCTTGCACCAAAAGGCAAAGGTGAGACACCCACCCCATTGAATGAACCAGAGTTTTATGAATCCGGAAATCTCTCCAACACTACTTTGCTCTGGGGTCTATGCTCTGGTGCTTCAAGCGCTTCAGGAATCCTCTTGCAGAAGATCAACGCAACCACACAGACCAGGGAACCCTACACAGGTGTCGTTACAAACGGGCTCTCACACCAAATGAGTGCTGTAGCATTCTAGAACCCATTTCTTAGAACCCCCCCCCCGTAGGGTTGCACACACTCACAAGAAATGGCTGCTCAAAAGAAATGTGAGGAAGCACCTCAAACACTCCACAAAAAGCCCCACCTCCCCTTGACACACAGGTCCGTGCTAACATGCTTCAATGAAGTAATGCCAGTTTCCCATACGAGACCCAATAACAACAGTATTTGCGTCATATGACGAGGACACATGCACAAACTTCGGACATGTAAGGAACCTGTCTCCAGTGAAAACATGAGGCCACAACCAAGCACAACATGTTCGATCCTCGCCTATATTTCCGTGCACCTTCAATTGACAACTAATTTCTCAGCAAATCCAAGAACCCTGACCCCACAACGCCTCCATACTTCCTGTCCACATCGAACCCCAGTTGCTCAGTGCCCGGGGTACAAGAAGGGAACTAATTCTTCGTGTGGCACAACTGGGTGCCCTCAAAGGCGTCTGGACAAATAAAGACACATCCCCTCTTGCTTATCCTTACTCAGTTGCCCGAAGGACCCAGAAATAAAAGGTCAATCTTTTGGGGCAATTAATAAACATGGACCGACATGGGAAAACCACAAGGTCAAAAGCTCGATTCAGTCACTGAGACTTAGCACCCAAACGGGGTTTTTCGATTGTGCCCCATCCCAATGGCCTTCGTCCGTGACCTGGTGGTCGAGGCCTGCAACCAATTTGCTTGCAGCGGCCCTGACAAACTTCTGGGGGTGGGGGGGGGAATCGGAGTGGCCTGTCGGAGCTTCCTTTTGGGTGTCCTTTTCTGTTTTTTGGTGGAACAAAAAGGGCCCTGGCAGATTGTGAAGCAACCAGGAACTAGGAATCGCCAGCTATTTTCTGCAACAACTCTGCCAAGGCCACCTTTGTTCTACCACAGTAGCCAAACAGGCCGGGTTCTATGTCAATTTGCAGGGCAGCGCCCCGATAAATTGCCCACTCAGACTCAAACCAAAACAAAATGCACTGTAAGGAGCCAAGTAAGAACCTTTCCAGGACCTTACCCTCCTGAGAGGAGAGATGAAACCCAAAACCATCAGGTGTAGAAGGAGCTGCCCTTGATAAACTCTGTTTTGTGGCATCGGGCGACATATGTACAAATGGGTCTGTGTTTTTTGAGGGTGCAAGTGCCATGTTTTGGCGTATACTCAAAGAAGGCCAAGGGAAGTCACAGTTGTTTCGCGGCTTTTGTCGGTGCAAGTGCTATGGCGCTGTGCTGAGGAAAAATTACGGGCCGCGGTCTCTGGCTTCAGACACCCCAAAACGGGACAACCAAAAGCTGCAAGGTCGGCACTGGGCAGCTGAAATTCTCAAAATCGGAGAAGCTGAGTGCCTTCCAGGGGACGACCCAACTGACTGCCGGCGGGCCGTATCTTTTTCTGGAGGGCTCCTGTTGTGGGAGAGAAAAACGAGAGATACATGTGTATATATATATATATTTATATATATATATATTTGAGGAGCGGACGAAACCCTTTACTTGGCCTTAGTACTTTTTTTAACGTCATCGTTTTTGGGGGAGACCTCATCGTTTTACAGTGTTTTCGAACTTTGGCAGATCCGGCTCCAAAATCGCAACTTTCTAGCACAAGTCTAGTACGCGAAGTACACTTCCGCAGCTCCAGCTCGAAATTCGCAACTTTGTAGTACAAGTCTAGTACGCGAAGTACACTTCCGCAGCTCCAGCCCGAAAATTGCGAAATACAATTCCGCAGCTCCAGCTCGAAAAGCGAAACTTGGCAGGCAGTACAAGTCTAATACGCGAAGTACACTTCCGCATCTCCAGCTCGAAAATCGCAACTGTGCAGTACAAGTCTAGTACGCGAAGTACACTTCCGCAGCTCCAGCTCAAAATCACAACTTTGTAGTACAAGTCTAGTACGCGAAGTACACTTCCGCATCTCCGCAGCAAGTCTAGTACGCGAAGTACACTTCCGCATCTCCACTTTGCAAGCTAGTACAAGTCTAGTACACGAAGTACACTTCCGCATCTTCAGCTCGAAAATCGTAACTTTGTAGTACAAGTCTAGTACGCGAAGTACACTTCCGCAGCTCCAGCTCGAAAATCGCAACTTTGTAGTACAACTAGTACGTACAAGTCTAGTACGCGACTTCCGCATCGCTCCAGCTCGAAAGCTCGATCGCAACTTTGTAGTACAAGTCTAGTACGCGAAGTACACTTCCGCATCTCCAGCTCGAAAATCGCAACTTTGTAGTACAAGTCTAGTACGCGAAGTACACTTCCGCATCTCCAGCTCGATCATCGCAACTTTGTAGTACAAGTCTAGTACACGAAGTACACTTCCGCATCTTCAGCTCGAAAATCGTAACTTTGTAGTACAAGTCTAGTACGCGAAGTACACTTCCGCATCTCCAGCTCGAAAATCGCAACTTTGTAGTACAAGTCTAGTACGCGAAGTACACTTCCGCAGCTCCAGCTCGAAAATCGCAACTTTGTAGTACAAGTCTAGTACGCGAAGTACACTTCCGCAGCTCCAGCTCGAAAATCGCAACTTTGTAGTACAAGTCTAGTACGCGAAGTACACTTCCGCATCTCCAGCTCGAAAATCGCAACTTTGTAGTACAAGTCTAGTACGCGAAGTACACTTCCGCATCTCCAGCTCGAAATTCGCAACTTTGTAGTACAAGTCTAGTACGCGAAGTACACTTCCGCATCTTCAGATCGAAAATCGTAACTTTGTAGTACAAGTCTAGTACGCGAAGTACACTTCCGCATCTTCAGCTCGAAAATCGCAACTTTGTAATACAAGTCTAGTACGCGAAGTACACTTCCGCATCTCCAGCTCGATCATCGCAACTTTGTAGTACAAGTCTAGTACGCGAAGTACACTTCCGCAGCTCCAGCTCGAAAATCGCAACTTTGTAGTACAAGTCTAGTACGCGAAGTACACTTCCGCATCTCCAGCTCGAAAATCGCAACTTTGTAGTACAAGTCTAGTACGCGAAGTACACTTCCGCAGCTCCAGCTCGAAAATCGCAACTTTGTAGTACAAGTCTAGTACGCGAAGTACACTTCCGCAGCTCCAGCTCGAAAATCGCAACTTTGTAGTACAAGTCTAGTACGCGAAGTACACTTCCGCATCTCCAGCTCGAAAATCGCAACTTTGTAGTACAAGTCTAGTACGCGAAGTACACTTCCGCATCTCCAGCTCGAAAATCGCAACTTTGTAGTACAAGTCTAGTACGCGAAGTACACTTCCGCAGCTCCAGCTCGAAAATCGCAACTTTGAAGTACAAGTCTAGTACGCGAAGTACACTTCCGCATCTCCAGCTCGAAAATCGCAACTTTGTAGTACAAGTCTAGTACGCGAAGTACACTTCCGCATCTCCAGCTCGAAAATCGCAACTTTGTAGTACAAGTCTAGTACGCGAAGTACACTTCCGCAGCTCCAGCTCGAAAATCGCAACTTTGTAATACAAGTCTAGTACGCGAAGTACACTTCCGCATCTCCAGCTCGAAATTCGCAACTTTGTAGTACAAGTCTAGTACGCGAAGTACACTTCCGCATCTTCAGATCGAAAATCGTAACTTTGTAATACAAGTCTAGTACGCGAAGTACACTTCCGCATCTTCAGCTCGAAAATCGCAACTTTGTAATACAAGTCTAGTACGCGAAGTACACTTCCGCATCTCCAGCTCGAAAATCGCAACTTTGTAGTACAAGTCTAGTACGCGAAGTACACTTCCGCATCTCCAGCTCGAAAATCGCAACTTTGTAGTACAAGTCTAGTACGCGAAGTACACTTCCGCAGCTCCAGCTCGAAAATCGCAACTTTGTAGTACAAGTCTAGTACGCGAAGTACACTTCCGCAGCTCCAGCTCGAAAATCGCAACTTTGTAGTACAAGTCTAGTACGCGAAGTACACTTCCGCATCTCCAGCTCGAAAATCGCAACTTTGTAGTGCAAGTCTAGTAGAATTCTAGCTCGAAAATCGCAACTTTGTAGTACAAGTCTAGTACGCGAAGTACACAGCTCCAGCTCGAAATTCGCAACTTTGTAGTACAAGTCTAGTACGCGAAGAACACTTCCGCAGCTCCAGCTCGAAAATCGCAGCTTTGTAGTACAAGCCTAGGCTGTACGCGAAGTACACTTCCGCATCTCCAGCTCGAAAATCGCAACTTCTCAGTACAAGTGTCGTATTTACAGAGCCGTGTGTTCGTTAAGGGTCATCGTTTTTGGGGGAGACCTCATCGTTTTCCATGGTTTTGGGATGTGTTACTCAAAAGCGTGCCCCGTCTTGATAAAGTGGTCTACGCGTGTTTTGTCCGTGGCTCATTTGTTGGGGGGGTGCTCTGACCGGTAGGGTCCTCTGCTTTAAACCGAAGTTAACATGACTGTGATTCTTGAGGCAAGCATAGAAAGAGGAGGATGACAAAAGGACCATAACGACATTCCAAACAGACTTCAATGCTTCATGGATGAAGCAAACGTGTGACCCCCTCTCCAAAAAATGCATGCAGCAAAGCGCTGCCAGGTTGGCACTCCGAGCGAGCCTAAGTGGCTACAACCCTCCTCCCCTGACACTCGCTCCTGCTTCCCGAAGAAAAACCCTTAATAAGGCCTTGTCAAGCGGGGAGGGTGCGGGGGGGAGGGGTGGATTGCACCGCCCCACCAACAGGAGACCCAAACCTCCGCAAAGGTGACGCAAAGCAAACGGCAGACACATGCCAAAAGAAAAAGAGGTTGGAGGTTAGAAAAAGACACGGTCCACAATCAACTTGGCGACCAACAGGTAACATCTGGCAACGAAAGCAACTATGTGCCGCTGGCTTTGGTAATCCCTTCTTCCCATTTATGACAGACCCCCAATGATAACAACCCCTCCAGCCGATCCCAAAATTTGCAAATACTTTTTTTCCAATTACCAAATACTGAACCGACCTGAGAGAGGGCTTTCTTATTGTTGGGGTCTCCATTGGGTTCCCTTCATACGGTCTCACTCAAAAGTTGTATTCTGAGCGCTTTTTCCTGTCAAACCAATGCTTTGCCTTTCGGGAGAGAGTTTTCTCATTAGGGGGCCTCCGTTGGGTTCCCTCCGTCAGCCGGAACAGCTTTTTGCAAATGGAAAGGGTCCGTTCCCTTCAAACGTTCTTACTCGGAAATTGCCTCTTGAGCACTTTTTTGCAAATCAAAGCATTCCCACTTTTCCGATTGGAACCCAAGACTATTCAACCCAATCTTAAACAGTTCTGGCAAAAAACCGGGGGAAGCATTTGTTTATTAAAAAACAAACAAAAAAACTCCGAGGTGTTTTGTGTTAGGGAGGGGTGGAGGGGGGGAACGGCTTATTTTTTTAGCGGCGCCGGAGTATGTGCCAAAGCCCCTCCCCGATATGTCTCAACCGAGCGGGCCCCAAGAAAGTCTAGGACTAAACTGGCCTTCTCAGGACCGAATTGAGGAGCTCAGGGAGCTGTAGCTGCGGCATTGGGTTGCAAGGCACCCGAGAAAAACAAATCACTGGCTCATCTCTTCCATCGAGACATGTGCCATAGGGCTCTGGAAGGTCTGGACCAAAAAAAAAAAAAAGAAAAAAAAAAAGCAATTGACCCAACCTTCTTGGTGTCATGTTGTGTGCTGATTGCTTTTTCAATTCATGGTTGCCATGGATCGCACCAGGTCGCTTCAGCTCACGACGGAAAGTTCAAGCATGTCCAGCCCGTGCAAGTCCCGGGCCTCATCCCTATCAAACAACCGGGGAACCCCAAAACGTTTGCCTGTGGCGCTCTTTCGAACCAACCTCCAAAAGTTTCAGCCTCGCCTAAGGGCAATGAGCTCACAAAGGGCGCCAAGTGCGCGTACTCCACGGCTTTCCTGATCCGAGTCTCTCTCTTAAAGGCTCTGCCCTGATCCACCCGATCTCTCACTTCCTGAGTGGATTGCCCGACACATCTCTTGCCGCGAAAATTGCCTTCCTCGAGAGCATGAAACAAGGGAAGGAGATGCTCGGCCTTTAAGATGAGTGGCCTCAACCCAGCTCCTTCCTGGCTTCTCAGAAGCAGGCAAATGTTCCATACATGATAAGCCAGGGGAGTCACAAAGAACATTGGAGTTGCTCCAAAAAACGGAAGGGTACAATTTCGGTCGCTGGTGACGGGAAACTGGAGAACGCAAACCAGTCAAAGGAGCCCATCCTAACGCGATCTACGCTGGCGCCACGATGTCGGACTCTAACTTAAAATGGATTCGACTACCCACAAACCGCCTCCAGGGGAATTGGGGATACCCTCTATACCATCTTAGATGTTATTTATGGTTGGGAAGATCTCGCTACCCTACTTGGTTCTGACTTTAAGGCTGAATGTCTGAACCCACGAAGAAGAACCTGCAAATTCGACGCCCTCTTTCGAAGTGACAAAGGGGCCCCTGGATACTCGATTCCCGACCGCATTCCCCCTATCACCCTTGCACAGGTATAGAACCACGACTGCCTTTCTCAGGGTTCCTTCAAGGATGCATCATGGATCCCAAAGCCACAGGATTTGCATGGGATCTAAATCGGCTCGGGAAAGATGAATTTTGAACTACGGGACCTTGTTGAACACCTCACCCTCCCACCAACAAGGAACCTGACTTGAGGCTGGAGATAGGAAGGCCATTGGGCCTCTGCCCTCTGAAAAGGCCTCAGCTTCAACTTCCGCAATCGAACATGAGACCCACTCGCTGTTTGCGGCTCCATTTTGGGCGACTCTGCCGCCCTGGGGTTTCTTTTCCGGGTGTCAACGGAAACGAAGGACCTCGAGATCAAGAGCGATCAGCCTTTGGGACCTTTGACTATGGTCAAGGGACACCAAGCCTAAAAGGCTCAAAGGCCGAAGGGTCCCTTCGAGGCAACTTCCCCTCGAGCCGACTCCAAGGTCCCAAGGAGTCAATACTGTGTGTGTGTGTGTGCGCAACCTATTGGGTGGGTTCAAGCATGGGATCTGGACCGTTGGGTGGAACCCCTAAACTCACTTGCCCAAAGCGGAAATCAAAGGTGATCGCCTTTTGGTTGGAGAGCCAAAAAGTCGTTCAGGGTCGTTTCGCCCTTCCCGCCGACCTGGGCCCCTGAAAACCGGCGGCTCGTGAAGATCCAAGGCGCTTGATGCGGCCGTCGGTGTAGAGCCTGAAGGGGTCCAAATTATGGCGCAGCGAGCCGGTGAAGAGCATGGGATCCTCTGCAGGGCGCAGGGAGGGGGGGGGGCGTAGTTTGCCCAAGATGGCTACGCTTGATGTCCTAGTATGTGCTGTATATATATATATATACAGATATTATATAATAAATTGTTCTACATTTATATCTGTAGACACACGTTTGTGTGTGTGTGTGTTTGAAGGTAGCGTTTTCAGGTTGGTTGAATGGCAACCAAGATGCCCACAAGGGCTTTTACCCTTGATCATGCCCCAGGAAGAGTTCCCGTTTTTAAACCCCCTACCGCAGAAAAAGACATTCCACTGTGAATCTGAACACAAAGTGATGTAGCAAAAGGGGATGTAGCCGTCAATTGGCGGCTTGGATTTATGGCTTGGGGATTTGAACCAGTGGCTCTTTGAGTAGGCCAAAGGGGAAGTCTCCTTGGTGAGCATGCCCTGCTGGGTTTTAAGTGCCTGGGACTCTGCCCGAACTTTCATTTGGGAAAATGAATGCGATTAGAACAAGACTGGAAACAAGCCAAAAGGACGCCGATGTTTCACTGCACCGAATGTTTGTGAGTTGAATCCACGCCATATATAAGATGGACACACGAGTGCCATCCACATGCTCAGCCAACCCACACCGCAAGCACCTGGCACCGTGCCTCATGCCCCATGAAGTCTGAAGGCCAACCAAGGGAGTCAGCTAGGTGGTAGCCGCCCAAGCCGTGTTCGCAACGGACAAACGGATCACGAGAAGTTGAGGGTGAGCAAAACAACATCAACAAGTTAGCCCACCCCTTGCAACTGGTGTTTTGGCAGCACCATTTATCAAGCCAAGACCTTTCACTGTCCAAGCAACCAATACCAGGTTGCTCAAATAAAGGTTTTTGAAGCCGAACAACATCCTCTTTAGGTTTTTCCCTTTGGCTGGAAAAACATCTATTTCTGGGGCAAACATCACCTCACACTCGGCCCCGGTTTCGTCCCCTTCCGTCGGCTCGCGAGCGAGCGAGCGCTTGCCGGCTCCTGGGGCACGAGGCCCAAGGCGGTGCGCAGAGTCGCCTTGCGATTCAAGCTGATCAGCCGGAATGAGGGACGCGGAAACAAAAGTGATCAAGCTTGAAGACAAAGCCAAGTTCCCTATAAATGGAAGAGAGGAGAAGCTAAAGGGGCAAAAGCGTGGATCTTCCAAGGTAGGTTGCGCTTCCTCCAACATTGTAACATAGCATCGGAAGCACCAAGATTCCCTTGAGGCACCCTGTGTCAGGTGCCATGTTGGTGGGAGGGAGGGTCGGCTGTGGTCGGCTTTGGCAAGAGCTTGCTTCAGCTTGCCAAAAGAGAGTTGACAAGGGCCCTCACAGAAAAGACAGCTCTGCACATCTACCCCTGCAGCCCTGCGTACTCAGCCGCTGCATAGAACCTGCAAATCCAATGGCAAAATGTCGGGAATCATCAAACTTGTAGATTCTTAGGTAAGAGACAACCACCAGGTTAAAGTTTCCTTGTTTTGAGACACACCCAAGAATCATTCCAAAAACTGGAAGTGAGCCCTTCAAGAGTATTTCCGGTATGGCTTTTTGGAGGTATGGATGCTAATAGGTCACCTATTCAAGCCTATCAGGCAAAAATATACTCCTTACATCAGGGGCGATCCTCGTGGGCTCGTCTCTTGCCCCCCAGGAGATGGCAACTGGGCTCCAGGCCAGGCCAATATCACGGGTGTCAATGCCTCAATTCTCCGAGCAGATCCCAACACCACGGGTCCCTCCGTCCCTCCCCACCGAAACCGCCGGGCTTCCTCTTAAGCTGAAAATTGGGAGGGGGTTGGAATTCCAGGATTTGTCCAACCCCTTGTTGCCGCAACTTGGGGCGCGAGTTTGGCATCCCTCCAAGAGGAAACTCAGATGGGGCTGGGGGCCCCCACACGAATTCCAAGAAGGTCGGATTGTCTTCAAATAGGGGAACCTCAAAATATCTCAAAATGCATCCTCCCTTTACCTTCCCTTTAAGCCAACCCACAAAGGGGTGACAACTCAAAACAGGAACCACACCCAGGGAGTCCTAACAGGAGTCTACACAACAACCTCCGCGAAAACAGGTATGTCGTTTAGGTTGGAACCCGCTGTTGGGCAAAAAACACACCAGGATGGTGGCCTGAAGATTCTGAACTGAACAATGTGGGTTTGCCTCAAACTGGGCAAGCCATAATGCATGGATGGACATGGATGAGATCCCGTTGGTTCACCTCAAGCAGGACCCGTTTAAGACAACAGGTCAACCCGGACCTGGAAAGGCCGTGCCGTCGCAGCCCCAAGAGTTGAGGTCGCTACAATTTGCCGCGCTCTTGGGCTCAAGGAGCTAGACATTTAGCCTTTCGGACATTCAACCGCACCAAACTCACCTCCCGAGTGGACGGGCCACAAACAATCCAAATTGTTTGTTTACAACTCAAAGGATCTTCCCAAAAAGTGACTGAAGTCCGAAATGGCGCTAAGAAAGAGAGTAAAAGTGCGCCAAACAGCGGAAACCAACGGATCAACCACTGGGTGGGGCAAAAACACCCAGTAAGCTTCCCGTGCTGAAGCCCAGGCTGAAGCCGAAACCGAAACTCGCTGAGCGGCCGTTGATGACGATGCGCCCGCCCCGGGGCTCGATGATCCGGAGCAGCGCCAACCTGATCGGTCCAAGCGGATCTCCAGAGCCCCCCGCCCCCACCCCTCCGTTTCTTGCTGAGAAATGGAAGGACCCCCAAACAGAAACACCACCCAACTTTTGTGGCTTCCTTTAAGGGCACCAAAGCCTGGGTTCATTCCCACATTCACTGAGCACCAGCAAGCTTTTTCGCGGGAGTCTTTGCGTTGCCGGCCATTTTTCGGCCCTGGAAACACCTGGCCCTCAATATCCACCACTTAGATCCAGGAATCGTTTGCAGCCCTAGGCTTAGGCTGGAGGTCTTGCATGGGGGCGAATTTGGGGCATACCTGCTAACTAGCTACCTTCCGGACCATCTCACAAGTGGATGTGCATGCGGGCGATTTCCAGGGTAATTCCCTGGTGGCACTGCTTTGAAGGAACAGCACATACAAAAATCTGGGGGGCAGTCCGCTGCATTGAGGGACTTGGGGCATAAACTGGTACGGGGGGGGCCATCGAGAGGTAGGTTCCTGAATACTAGAACTGAAAAAGGCGAAGGCAGAACCAACCGCGCCAAGCGCAATAACTTTTAACCAACCCCAAAACGGATACCGAGCCTCAAAACAACCCGCCCCTGTCTCGCGGATCGCGAGTGAGTCAGGGCGCAGCATGCTGGACTTGCCGCAGCCCGTAGTGCCTTGGCCGGGGTTTTGCAGCCCAAAGGAAGCCTTCGCAGTCCCCTGGGCCCCTGCAAATTCGAACCCGCTCCCCTGGTCCCCTGAGGCTTGTGGCAATTGGGAGCTTCCTCTAATCAGGGTTGGGCGTCCATGGAAATCTGGAAAGTCTAGAATTCAATTGGGGATCTGAATGGTGTTTTTCCCTGCGGGCATCCAAAGGAACATCAGGGATGTTGCCACCAGCCTTTGGATGCAACGTTCCGAGCCTTGGCCCTTCTTCTTCTTCTTCTTCTTTTTTTTTGGGGGGGGGGGGATCCGAAAGAAACCAACAGTTGAAACCGTTCTTTTTTTCTCATGGTAAAACCGTCCCCCTGTGAGGACTAGGTTTCAACCCACATTGAAAGAAAGCTTGAGCCAAATTGGATGATGACAATCCTGAGGTAAACAATGGTGAATTTATGAACCCCCATTGTGTTAGTGGCAATCTGAACCCCAAAAGAATGCAAACCCACATGTCATTGTCTCAACTCCTTCATGGGTTGATGGCCGTGCGAACGAGTGGCATCCTGAAATGTACCCTCGAAATGGTGGTGCAAAGGGAAACTACAAGCACCCCGCAAAACAAAGCACTTGCCCCTAACAACAGGTGCTGCCTTTAATCAGCACTGTTTTTTGCAGACCCCCAAATCTCTCAATACTAATTTTCGACACCACTTTAAGTGTTATTTCCAGACCCTAAACCCTCGAGAATGTGAAGTTCGGCTTCATCCGGAAGACCCTGCTAGTCTACAGTACTCCCGATTGATCCCAAGTTAACCTTACTAAATCCGAATCAGCCAGTCTGCAATTTTTACTATAATTCCCAAACCTCATTTCAGAATTGGATCCCCAAGTCAGGGCGTTCGCTCGTTATACTCCCCGACCCCCAATCGGTGAGCTCGCTGTAAAATAGGCAGAGCCAATTAGGGAATGTGGGAATGAACCCAGGCTTTGGTCCCCTTAAAGGAAACCACCAGTTGGATGGTTTTTTGGGGGGTCATTCCCCCGCAGCAACCACCAGTTGGATTGCGTTTTTAGGGGTCATTCTCCCATTCCCTCCGCCGGGCACCGGATTCTTTTTGTAGGGGGGTCATTCCATCCAATGTCTCATTCCATCCATTTCGCATCCCTCGCAGCGAGGGCATGTTCTCGGACCAGGTGCCCACCACCGCGACCTTCATCCGCGGCTCCACGCTGAAGGTCACGCCTTTCAGCACGTCCTCCGCGCGTTTCTCAGGGCCAAGAATTTGGTTTTCCAAACTTTTCGGATTTCCACCAAAATGGCAATCCCAAAAAGACGAATGTCCAGGTGCCCAAGAAGTGGCAGTTTCCTTGTGCAGCTTTCCTTTTGGTTTCCCTAGCCAAGGTGAAACGGATTTGACTCATGTTGAACAAGCCACCGGTAACTGCTGCGAAGTGGATTTCGCGTTGCACACCCGCATCTTTACGGAAAACTTCCCAAACCCTGGTTGGTTGGAAAGAACGAGTGCACAGACTTTGAAACCAAACTAAACCCTGGAACCGGTTGCTCAAACAAGCACAAAACATCGCAGACTCCCCTGCAGAATGCATCCATTTGAGGGCAACCCCAACTGGAGATTCCGCAAAATGCAATGTTTGCCCAAGGCTTCCAGCTGGGGGAAACCAAATGTCAACAAAGCGCGAAACAAATCTCTGGTGATTGAAACTGGCCTCAGCTGCGAAACCGTAGAAGAGATGACCTCCGTTGCCCATTTACCCACAAGAACCAGGGGTTCTTGCAAGCCCCCAATGTCCGAAAACAGTAAAAGTGGAGCCCCAAACCCCAGAAATGTCCAGCCCACCTCCCCCCAAACCAAGCCTCCCCGGCCCCCCCCTTGCCCCCCCCAAACCCGAGCCCCACCGGCCCCGCCCGAGCCGAGCCGAGCCGAGCCGAGCCGAGCGGTCGCTCCTGGGGCACCTCCGCGTAGCCGGCGCGGAGCTCCTGGACGTCGAGGCGGGCCCCGGAGCTGAGCCAGTCCGACTGGAACTCCAAGTTCACCTCACAGGGGGTGGTGAGACGGTGAGATAGGGAGGGGCGGTAGTGGGGGAGGGGGTGGGGTGGGGGGAGGGTGGGGGGAGGGTGGGGGAGGGTGGGGGGAGGGTGGGGGTTGGGGAGGGTGGGGGTTGGGGAGGGTGGGGGTGGGGGTGGGGGTTGGGGAGGGTGGGGGTGGGGAGGGGATGGTTGGCGGTGGGGAGGGGATGGTTGGTGGGAAGGGTGGGAAGAGGGCGGGTGGGGAGGAGGGAGTTCCTCCATGTGCAAATGCGTCCCAGAAATGTCCGGTGATAGATCCCCTTGGGGTGGGGCTGGGGGGGAGGGCTCAGTTCATTCGGTTCAACTGACAGTGAGGTTGGGGGTACGGTGCAGCTTGTTTTTTTCCTTTTTTTTTTTGGGGGGGGGGGGGGGGGTGAGATCCAAAAGGAAAACCTGTTTCGATTCGATCCACTGCAAAACGCGCTGTCATCCTCCTTTCCTCACTCACTACCAATAAGGGATTTAGCCGTCCAAGCTAAGTCTGGCAAGTGCTTCTCAAAAGCGAAGCGTTCAGGTTGGTTTCCAAACCTTTGCAAGCAAAAACTATGTTGAGACCAGCCAGATCAATTTCAACCTAATGGATCCAAGGATCGATCAAACTACCAGTAAAACAATGGGTTTTGTGTTTTGCTGGCTGTCGTTTCGCATTACTCGGTTAGGAGCCTTAAAACGTGGCTGTTTGTTGCACTAAAGCGGTGTTTTGCTGTTGGATGGCCCAGAAGGGTCGCCAAACAGACATAATACCCAATACCCATTGTGTGTTTGCAAATCCTGTCACCACATATGTTTCCCCCCCCCCCTCCCAAAGTGCCACTGCCAACCCAAACCACTCAAAGCACTCTTTGGGCATGTGTCACAGCCGAGGCACCCCGCAGCATGAATTTCCTTGTGGCTTCCCTTCAAGCTGCCCAGAACCACCACAGAGCGTTTTGGGCAGAGGCCAAAGCATTCCTGGGGAAACAACTCTTTGTTTGCGGGTGCTCCGGGTACTCCTTTCTTTTGAAGGGAACCGACAAGGAACACACTTTTTGGGGCTTCAAATCCTAAAACAACACAACCCACCCCTTTTGAGAAACATGGCCCTTGGGTTTCCCGGCCATGGGTGGAGATGCGAAGGCCGCCGCCTAAGGTGAACAACCGACCGACCAAGACGGTCGAGTGGATGACTCACCCAAGTTGGGCGTGTCTTTTTTGTGGATGGTACCTCTTTTTCGGTGGGGTTTAATGGGACACCTAAAGCTTCTTTTGGGGGGATGGTACCTCCTTTGTCGGTGGGCTTTAAAGGGAAAAACCCCAAAGGAAAGCCCGATCCGATCCCAACACAAAGACGAGCAGCCCAGTTCAAAGGATTCTGAGAACCTTGGGGTAGATGAAACCCGAAATGGGGGAAGAAAAAAAACAGTACCTGGGCGCAGATTCTCCCAGATGTCCTAGGTGCAACCGATGACTCTTGTAGAAAAAGGGAAAGCTTCCGCTCACCATTTCCGCAAACACAAATTCACAAAGCTTCCTTGCGGACGCGGGTAAGGGCATTGGAGAAAGTTCACTTCTGGCTGGAGTAGCCCAAAAGCCAGTTTGTTTGACCAGCGGACGCGGTCAATGCTATAAGTCCTAAGCGAGTCAGTTGCCCATGGCTACAACTCCTGCCCAAAGGACCAGGAAATAATATAAGGTTAAGCTTTTGGGACCTCTACCAAAAAATTGACCAAAAAGGGAAACCCAAAAGGTCAAAAGGTCGGCGCTGAACAACTGAGACAAGGGCTAAGGTAGAAATCATTGGCTTGCACGTTGCTTGAAATCCACATGCAGTCATGACCACAGGGGCAAAGTGTTCGCACCATCTAGCCCCTCAACCGCGGACAACGCATCTTGACATGGTCAACCACCTCTTCCCGGGGCCCCAAAAATCAAACAGAACGCCACACCCAGTTCTTCCGGCCACTGGCCCTACAAGAATCTCCAAGCAGATCTGTTGATGGAGTAGAGAAAACAAACTGCGCGGGCAAGAGGGGCCAAAGCATTACACACATTCTCTTGTGGTCATCTCTTGGTCTAGTTAAGCAACCTTGTTCTGATTATTGAGGCCCTTGGCTTCCCTGCAACTTCACCCTCCCACCAATAAACATGAAAGTGCACAAGTCGGCACAGGGGCCCGTGAATGTCCATGATTTTATTTGCGACCTCCATCTGCACGCTGTTTTTGGACACCTGCTTGTCCGCCTGATAAGACCGCGAGGACAAACATGCCACCTGTGATGTGCGGAAGGGGAGGGTCGTAAACAACAGGGTGCCTTTCTTCAGGGCACCCTTTTGACGCTGGTTCAGGTGGCAACTACAGGAGCGCCATCTTATTGGCCCCCCTATTCTGACGCACATCTGGGCAATTTGCAAAGCCGGAAGGTCTTTGTCGTGTTCCTCAAAATGGCTATGACTCTTCATTGGGCAGCGCATATGGGTGGGGGGCCGCTTGTGAGGGTGCTCCCTATTATTCACAGCCAAATGGGGGGTTCCCAACATAGGTCCATTTCCATTTCCCCACAACGGTTGGTTTCCTCTACGTCCCCTTTGAATCGCCAACAGTGGTTCCGAAGCCCATCTGAAGAAGCCCCCAACTGACATCGTTCAGCCGAATTGAATCCGAGTGAACCAATAATATTTCACCAACCTGAAACTTGCGGTGGTTGGGGGGATATTCCCCACATAAACCACCATTGGGGGTGAGTTCGGTCCGAGGACGGTCCTGTGAGTCGTTAGAATTCACCCAGATTGGAATCTGCCGAGCCGCCGTCATGAAGCTCTTGGCGCTCTTGCAGATCTCATCAGCGATCAGCTTCCTCGCGCCGTGCTCGCGGATGGCGAGCGAGTGCTTTCCAGGGGATCGGAATGGGCCCCAGAAAGCCTCGAACTAAGAACCCCTCCGAAATTCGGAGGGTCTCCTGTTGGTTGCCCCTTAGACCAGCTTGGAAAGGGTTCACTTGGGTGAAGGTAGGTGGTATGCCTTCATGTTGGTTTAACCGCATACCCTTTACTTGCCCACCTAAAAAAAAAACATGCCGTCGATTTTCACCCTGGTGTAGCCCGTGACTAGAAGTGTCCAGCTGGGGTCTGTGGACCCTCGCGATGCGTTCGCACAGCTGCGGGCCAGCCCAAGCGTGAGCGAGTGGTTTGTCCCCCAGGTGGGTGCGCCATTCCACATAGGTGTCCTTTGGGTAAAATAGATGGACTGTCATGGGAAATTGAAACCGACCAATCCAAACCAGTGCCATCTCTTCTGCACAGTGCTTTGACTTCTGGGGAAATGTCCCGAGTCGTCTATGTCCCTCCCAATGGACCATAGGCCTGAGGTATGTTTTGCCTGAGCTTTTGGGTCCCAAACCCCATCGGCGAAGGTCCCCCGCCCCCCCTCCACCCCAAACCCAGTAGAACCACCAACTCGGTGGTTTCTGGGTCCCTTGCTCATTTTTCTCGCCAATGTGACAAACCCAACTCATTTCAAACATCTCAGCCAAAAGTCGCAGAGCCCCTTATGGCCGAGAAGGTGGTTTTCAGCCAGACACCTGGGAGCCGCCCCATCGCCGGGGCCCGGGCGCGCAGCCCGTGGCGTCATTGGCCGCCACGATGTGGTGCAGCGTCGGCACCGCGTGCAGCTCCGCGCAGCTCGGGCACAGCTCCTCGATTGCAAAGAGTCGTTCGGGTCGGTTCAGTAGTTTGGGCTGCTGGGGTGGGTCGTTTGGATGGTTTTGTTTTGTTCAGTTCTATTTGCTTTGTTGTTTTGATTTTGTGTGTGTGTGGATTTTCCCTGTGCAGCAGCGCGATCCATCAGGCAAAACGGAGGCGACATGCAAGCACCACTTTGGGCGCCCGCAAATCCCCTCGCCCCACCCTGAAACAAGCAATGCGCAACTCGAGTTCGGTAACCTGCACACCTCCAAGGTCAAACATGCAGCTCTCCTAAAAAGTCAGACAATACCAGGCCATACTCGACCACAACCGAGTGCTCCATCCAAAAAAGGCGGCAGCTGGGCTAGTACTGAGTCTGAGGCAAGCAGAGTCTTGCAGGACGCGTGAAGCAAAAGCCGAGCATGCGCAATAGAGCTGTTAACAAGGCAGAAGGAGAGATTCAACAAAAGACCATTCCGAACCCACACGCAAATCCGTTTGCCAGATTTTGCCAGTCCTCAATACGCAGGCACCACTCACTGTCGTGTGTTGTAAATGCAGCGCAACTGTAAGGCTGCCCGTCACGACACCCCCCAGGCGCCGCACATATGCTCCGCATTCACAGCATGCATGTTGAAGTTCTTGGCCAATGCGCTGATTGAACAAGGCTTGGTAGAAACAACCGCTAATCAGTCTTGCTGATGCCCTACGCTGTTTCAAAGGACAGGGCCTGAACATGAGCTGTCTAGCACGATGCGAAGACGCCAGACTGAGCTTCAGCACGCATGCGCTTAAAGACGACATCACGAGCTATGTGACTGACATCGCTGCGCAAAACATGTCCCAGCAGCGGCTAGCGTCTTACTGCGAAAGCAAACACACTTTATCCGGAACCAAAGCTGCGCTGCATGACGTGCAGTCTTCGCCGAACCTCAGCCCACAAGTATCCTGGTGGTTTAATTTTGACCCATACCTTATGACCTCTACCCTTGGCAGGAATTAGGACGCCAGCAAAAGAACATATTGGGGTTAGTAGAAAACAATCGGGACCCCAAAAAAGCAAAAAAATGAGAAGAAACAAAAAGGACTGATTCTCGGGAAGTCGCCCCCATCTACGGTCGCTCACTGAGGCTCCTGGAACCCCTCGACACCGGTCTCCGCCAGCATTAGGCCCCGCAGGTCTTTGGTGGAGCGCAGCACCACTCGCCCGTTCCTCCGGTGGCATCGAAAAGGACCCAAATGGCAGTTTCATCAGGGCTCCCATCTGACCCGATCGCAAGGGGTGAAACTTAAGGTTGTAGAAAAGAAGAACCAAGGCAAACAAATCAATATGTTCTACCCGTATAGTGGGGTCATTGTTCTGCGGTTTGTGGAAATCCGGGCAATCGCAGTCACAACAGATTGGGCGCAAGTCCTCCCAAGATGATCATTGCCCAGCCAACACCGGTGCAAGGAGTCACCCAACAACAGGCCCCTATACATCAACCAAGGTTTTATTTATCCTCAGGCCTGTGAGTCGTATGTAGGGAATTTACATGACACCCAACATAGCCAGGCTTTGGAACAACCTTCCCAAAAAGTGCCTAAAGTCCGAAGCGGAACTCGGGAAGTGAGACAAATTCTGTGTCTTGGCATTGGCGTCGGCACCATCGTCTTCACCGAGGCTCGCAAGGACCTCGACCTCGTCCCCCTTCTCCTTGGCAAGCTCCGAGTTTCGGCTTGAGGCTTGAAGTGCCGCTGAATCTTTTCTAGGTCCTCCGGTTAGAAGGGTACCCTTTTTTGTGTAGTCTATTTTAGTAGGGGAGCCCTTCCCCGAAAAAGGGTAAAAGGGCACTACTGGGGGACCTAGTTTTTGTCATACTCACAACCGATCGCAACCCAAAAGAAGTACCCGAGCCAACAAAGGGGCCACGCCCAGCTACCGACAAGAATGACTTCAAATTCCCCACGACCTGTGCCAAGACGTCCCGGGCCGTAGGGTTTGCTCCAGGGGACAGCCGCCATCGGCGATAGCAAAACAGAGGCACTGGCCAAAAGAAAGCCCCAGGCCAAAATTGGAAAAAATATCTGCCGAAATCCCAACCCAGTGTCTCCGACACACCAGTGTTTTGGGCAGGGCCTGATCTTCTCTCTCTCACAGCCGCCGACGCCGACCCGATCCGCATGTCGCTGCAAACCGGCGGATTCCGTGGCTGCCGGTTTGCCAGTGGTGGGCCAGTTTCTAAAGCGAGAAACCCCCGGGCGCTTTTCAAGTTCGCAACGAAACGCGGAAGGAATGCATCCCTTTGAAACTGAAAGGACTAATTACACTCTTAGATGTTCTGGGAATCACTGGGTCGTCTTGGTCCCCAATTGACCCTTCTCATTCGGCCGGCATGGCGCCGCTTGACGTCCAGGCTAGGGCTAGACCGTTCCGGGCTAGTCGGCCAAGGTGCGCGCTTGGTCAGTGGGGTAGCAGCCTTCCGCATGAAACGCACCGAGTAGCTCCGCAGCGCGGTGTCCTGACGCGAGGAGAGCCGTTGGCGGTTGGAGCTGAGGTGGGTCCACGGGTTCTCGGAGGGGGTCGACACCCTACAAAACAAAAAGTTTGGAGTTCAGGTTCCCAGGGCGTCCCTAAAAGACCCACAAGTTTGGAGTTGAGGGGATTTGTTTCCTTCAATCGAAAAACCAATGGTTTGCACCAGAACGAGTCGATTTGGACCCACACAAGCCCTCCTTTCCAATGGTCGCCGACATGGGTGCGGTCCGTGGGGGTTGGCTGTGGTTGGTTATTTGGCGGTGGTGTCCTTTTCACCTTGGTTTCAAAGTGCGACCAAAACTACCATGTCCTTCCAGAACTCTTTAAAGGCACTGGAACGTAGGCACGTCAACCATTTGTGCAAGGTGAGGCAGCTACAAACTTCTCACATCCATGCAGTGCATTGCCACCGTTTGACAGAGCCGCTGAGCCTGCTTTGCTCGAAGATCCAAACACCAGATCCATTCATCCATTCACCCGTGCGAATTTCCCACCGTGATACCAATGGAAGGCCTTCCAATTTGTTCGAATTCTTCAGGGGAGGCTTCAATATCACAGAAGTGCGAGAGCCAAATGTCAATTCCTCCAAAAAACTGAAGTTTTTTAAAAAAAAATGGAGCAAGCCAACCGCGCAGCCCGCAAAAGTCGCAGCAACAGCAGCAAACCCGAGCTCCTCGAGGGTGCGCATGGCCCGCTCTTGGGGCACCTGGCGAGGGCCATGAGACGTGGAACGAGCCTGGGGGTGCCCTGAACGGAAACCACCATGATGGTTTATAGGGCTTTCACTTTTGGACAGACTCCAACCAAGGGGTGGGGACTGCAGACTCCAACCAAGGACCAAGGTGGCTCTGATGTTTTAGGAAGCCTTAGGCTTAAGTCTACTTTGGGGTAAAAGTGGAACCCTGATTCCTTGGGTCAAGCGGCCGGGCCCTTTGCTCCCTTTTTTCCACACGTCCGAAAGCCTCAAGGGGGGCCCTAGAGGGTTTCGCAGTCGGCGACCCATCCAGAAATGCTCCACTGGAGGGCTTCTGCAATTGGAGTCTTGGGAATGCTTCAAGCAACCCAAGGCTACTGGAAGCCTGAAAATAGTGCCCATTCCAGCGGCCAGCCGGCCTCCGTGTACTCATGGACTCGTGCCAGCGCAATGAGCTCGAACAGAGCCCCCGCCATCATGTCCAGGCTCGGCTCGATCATGCCCCTCGGCGCGCGTTCTCGGTGCCTTTGAGGTCCCCTTTTCGGGGAAAGGTTTTTGGGGGTTCGAGAGTTGTGGGGTATTCGAGAGTTTTGCAGTTGGACGTCAAAAGGCCCCTCAAAGCGCAAGGTTTTCTAGGGTTCGGGACTACCACGGCGAGCGGCGATTTTCAGCCCGCCACAGCACCGGTCTGGGCTAAAAAGCTACATGGCAAGAAACCTTAGTTACAAGAGTCAACACGGGGGTTGGTGGGGGGCCAGCCGAGGTCTGAGCTAAAGCGGCGTGAACTGGTTTACCAGTGAAAATTCGGCCAGTTTCTGTGATACTGTGGATGGACGAAATCCTGCACCACCTAAGAAACCCTGGTTTCGGATGATTCCCCTGTAAATACCAATGAACTTCATGGTTTTCCCTGGATTCCAAGTGGTGCGAAGGGACTGCCTCTTTTTTATCATGTCCTTAAAATCCCAGTTGTAAGGGCGGAAGCTGGCATCAGCTACATTGGTTGGCTGGCTTCAGGTGAAGGGAGCCTGCAAATTTGGAAGCAAGGGACTCCATGTCAGACCAAAGGATTGCCACTCTGGGCTCGCCACTGCGAAAGGGGCCAGGTGGGGAGTTGGAAAGCTAAGAATCCAACTTTTATAGGGTTCAATGGCAAACCCTTGATTTCCCAAAAAGTTAAAGTCTCAAGGTCCAGCCCAATAGCAATCAAGAAAGAGAAGCAATCAATAGAAGGGGTGCCCTTGGTCAAGGGTGCGCTTTCGTCATGATCACATGAGCTTTGCTAGATCCTGGCTTGCCGGGATTGGCAAAGGCGCCTCTTAGGTAGCGGGCGCTCTTGTGATCTCTTGTGACTAATCGGTGGCTGCCCGCATCACCCCCCCCCCCCTCAAGCCACGGCTCAGAGATGATAGTCGGCGCCCGTTACGGCATCATAAAGTACTCATATGGCTGTGGGTCAAACATAGGTACTCAAAATGGAATCCTGGTAATTTAAATGGAAACATGGACTAAAATCTGCGGTCCCCTGGTGTTTTACTATTTATTGACCCACATATCTGTTTCTCTGGAAGTTTTGTTTCTGTAGCGGTTGGCCACGGCGAAAGGGTGGCAACTGCGTCTACTTAAGTTCAATCGCAGCGACCCATTAATTCCATGGTGGTCGCCAGCCAACTTGAGGTTGCTTTTTTACTGAGGGTACCTTTTTCGTTGAGTTCAAAGGGACAGGGCAACTACTTGTTTTTTTTGCCTTAGTTTACAGGGACATCAAGCAGAAACCGCCCGTTTTCCGGCAAAATCCTCCCATTTGGGGCCTCATTCCCCATGTCGCCGCCTTCTCCTCCACACCCTCGCCATCAGTCGCTGATCGAAATCGAGGCGCTCCAACAGTAGAAGATTCGTCAGCGCGATGCCCAGCGTCCCCGGGCCCAGGCGGCTGCAGTTGTAGAGCCCGATGATGTAAGTGACCTGGGCAGCTGGCGGGCAGAGGCGTTCAGGCCGTCAGAAAACAACGGTTGAGCCCATGTTCTGTCCAGAAACAGGACCCCTGGATGATGTATATATATCTATATTCCTACAGGAACCCCTGGTATGAACCCCTGGCAAATAGCCATATGGTATCTTTGGGGTCTAAAATGGCCGTGGATGTTCATGTTTGGACCTATACGCTCCGCCTTTGAGTTCCACCGGTTGTTCGGCAACTGGAGGCAAAGCGTGAGGCTCTTGAGCGAACCTCTGGGGTTCCATGATACTGTGGACGAAATCCATTTCGCACCACCCAAGAAACCCTGATTATGATGATTTCCCCCTGTAAATGTCAACAAACAATGGTTTCAAACATGGTTTCAAAGTGGCGCAGGATTCCGTCCATCCACAGTAGTGGGTGTAGCCTACTTTGCGAACCCAGAAAAGGAGTGAAAGGGCAAGGCCACGTATCTCGAGTGGTTCGAGGAGCCAATCCGCGCGCAGTATGCCGTTCATTAACATAACCTACGTTGCCTGCGCAGAAGGGGCCCAACCTACGCGAAGCATGACTGCGCAGTTGATTCGCATTGGAACCCCAGAACCCCCCTCCCCCCCCCACTTTGGCAAAATCATAAGCTCATGCTATCCCGGATCGGTCGGCTTTCCAAATAGTTAGTGCAGAATCAGAACCCTCCCGAACCCTCCTCCGCCAAAGGCCTTGCTGGTGTCTTGCTTTCTGGGAAAAAGTCAAGGGGGGGAGGAGGGGTTGCATTCTATTGGAGAGAGGGGTGGAAATCATGAAATAGGACAACTCTGCACGGCCAAGGTGCCGAGTTGTAGAAGGTCCACAGGTAGTTCACCCTGTTGCACAGCCAGCGCTTCATGAGGCGGTCGTCTGTGAGGTCGGCCTATCCGTGAAAGGCCCGCCGAATGACAACCTCTTCACTCAATGGGCGGCTCCCTGCCTACCGTTTTCAAAAACCAGCTCAAATGACAGATCAGCCCAGGTGGTGCCCCAACAGCCCCAGAACCCCCTGTGTAAACAAGGGCGGTTTTGGGGCCCTGCAAACGCACATGCTACGCCGTCATTTTAGAGAAGCTCATTTTTGGATTATTTGGTGTCTACCTGACACTCGCCGTCCCCAAGCTTTCCCGGCAAGCCCGGGAAGCCTCGGACCTACCGCCCGCCTTCAAGGAATCATCCACTGCTGCCTTAGCGGGCAGTGAGCACAAAGATCACACCGGTGAAACATGTTTTTTGGAAGAACCCCTCAACAGCAAGGGGTCGTCCCCGCAGAACTTCATTTTCTGCAAACTGGGGTGCGACTATGATCCAAGCAAATTGCCAAGGGTCCTCGCCGATACCAAGTCGGGCCAAGTGTGGGAAGTGTGACAGAAAATTCAAGAAGAAGAAACAAGATATCAGTTTGAAAGAAAGCACTGGGCAACTCAAGCACATGGAAGAATATCAAGGATGGGTGCGCCTTTCGGGGCTCGTTTCGGTGACAACTTGTGCCGTTTACATAACCCAAGAGTCCAATCCCCTCGTTTGGGTTCCAGCGTGCCCTTCACTGACCAAAACAGGACTCCTTGGTAGCAGCGACCCCTCTGCAAACAGTTCTCTCAACTTCTAGGGAACATCCGCGCAGGTTCAGCCAAAAAGTTCAAGTCCGACTCTCCAACCAAACATCCGGAGAAAAAAGAAAAAGTCCAACTATCCAACCAGACATCCGGAGAATAAAGAAAAACAAAATCAACGTGGCATCTACTTCCCACCCCCAGCCCCAGACCGGCCCCTTTGCCCGACCCCGGTCGCCCGGTCGCCCGGTCGCCCGGCCGCCCCTTCCGGCTCAAGCGGCCGCGTACTCCGCGGAGAGGCGCTGCTGCTCCCCGAAGCCGCGGACCACCACCGTGCTGGTCATCACCTAAGCGACCGCATGAACCAACAAAGACTCGTTGAAACACGGGGCCTAAAAACCCACCCACCTATGTTTCTTTAAAAAAGAAAGAAAAAACAGATTGATAATGTATGGGATTGATTGATTGATTGATTGATTGATTGATTGATTGATTGATTGATTGATTGATTGATTGATTGATTGCCAAAAACCATCCTATTCATGAGCTGGTTGGTTGATTCATATGGGGTAAACATTACCGCTGGCGCTCTTTGACCCGGATGTTGCTGGTCTTGGATTCTTCGTGTGGGGACTGTTGTTGACTTGTTCTTGTTTGCTTTCCGTTCTTGGGGGGCCTTTTGCAAGCATGGGAACTTGGCCGTGGCCCCTTGTCATTTTGTTTAGTGGCTTCTCTTTACCTCCATTTGCTTAAGTCCCCTGGAACAAATGAACATATTTCCAGTAGACAGATTCCCTTTAAACCAACAGGGGAAAATAAAAATATCCTTAACCAAATGGAAGTTACAACACAGTACCAAACAATGGAAATTGTGTGGGTCCAGCCACTCACCAAGCGCGCGGATTGGCAAGGGCGCCTCTTCTTAGGAATCGGGCCCCACAACTTGTGATTTCCTTTTGGTTGCCACACAGAACAAAAATTGTGATAGTCTTGTCTGTTCCTGTTGGTTTCCATTCGTGTGTTTGTTGTCAACCAGAACATGCAGAAAACAAAACACACCCAAACAGAGTCCAAACTTTTTGTTCGCCACACATGATCTTCCCCAACAGCATAACGTCCAGCTCGGGAACAACTTATTCAAACATCCTGCAAGAACCAGGTGGCCCTCCGTGCGCATGGATTTGAGGGGTTGAACCGGGTAGGCCCTGAAACTGAGCACCGGCCCTGGCAACGATCCCCTCTTCAAAGTCACCTCAAGGGCCCGAAGGCCATCTGATCGGGTGAAAAATCCGGGTTGCTGTTGGCCTCTGGGAAAAAGTGTTCGACTTGCGGGTCCAATCCGGAAACAAAAGCAACTGTTACAACCAAAATGCGTTCAGTCCAATGAAGCATAACTCCAGGCCCCTGGGTGACAAGCTTCTTCTAAACGGGGCGTTCTGATGCGTTCCATACTTGGTTCGTTCAATCGTTGTGGTTACTGATCTGCACTCGCCTATTTAGCCCAAATGACAATTCCTGCCAAGCGCAAAGGCCATACAATGAGGCTTCTTCAAAAGACAGCCCCCAGTGTGGTCCCAATTGGGGTTCCACCCCCGTGCCCTTTTTCCCCTATCAGGGGCTCTCGCAAACGTCAAGAGCAAGCTTTGAAGCGAGGCACATCTGAGAGGTAGCTCTGGGTCCGGCTGCTGGAGGTCTTGAAGCAGTATCGCAGCGGCACCGTGGTGTTCTGATATCTACCCTCGGCCATAAAAAGTGGATGCCAGGAGTCCCCTTCGGGTGAAGCAAAGTGGATGCCACGATGTCCATCCGCGTCATGTAAAGGATATGACTAAAACACAGATGGCAAATTGCGCCAATTTTTCACAGAACAGGTGTGGTACGCACCCAGACATGAAGCCCACTGAGGCTTGAGGCTTGATGCGCTTCTAGAGACCAGAGAGGCATGCTCAACAAATATGAGTTATGCAGCGCGTGACTTGGACAACAAGCAGTTCAGCATCCCATAACCCGAACAGGCTGTCCCAGCCCCTGTTTGGAATTTCAACTTGAAAGGCAGGTTGGAACCACAGGTTCACATGAATCAACCAAAATTTCTGAGTTGCCCGGAAAAAAAAAAGAGGAAACAAAAAACATTTCACCTTTTGGGACCTTTACTAAAAATGGACCAAACATGGGAAACCAAAAGGTCAAAAGGTCGGCTTTGCGCAAGTGAGATTCACCGTCCCACTTCCAATGTCGACATCACCTTACCCGACCCGGGTAGAACTTGTACCCTGCCTTTTCCCACCCGCTAACAGCGGAGGATGGAAATTTAGATCAATCACCACCAAAATGGTCTTCCAAATTCTTGGTCGCTGTCGACCCCCCTGCAAAAAATGCTTTAACTTTTGGGGGCTGAGTGGAAAAGCCTTTTTTTTCCCAAAAAGTTAAAGTCTGAAGATCCAACCCAATAGCAGTCAAGAATTGTGGTGACTGTTAGTGTTTGGGGGCAGGGTCCAAGGTAAAAGCATGATTCTGGTGGTTCAACCCCCCAACAAAAAGCGGCTGGGCTGGCCCAAAGGGTCTGAGCGGCGTAGAGAGACGCGACCACGTAGTAGAAGGGCAAGGACAAGGCCGTCATCGACAAGGGCATAATGGCGTGGATGTAGGCCAACGGGACCATTGTCCTGGGTTAAGCGGGGGTCTGTCTCATTGTTTGTCCGGGTCTGCCTGTTTTCAGGGGGAACCAGCGAAAAAGCCGCATTTGTTGGGTCCCCTGATTTGGGACACAACAAGGTACCACATGAAATAGTCAAGGTACCACAAGGAATTGGGAAACAACCCCAGCACGTTCCAAGCACTCAATCTTTTCCGCTTCGGCTTGCGACCCAATAGTCAAGGTACCACAAGGAATTGTGTAACCCCAGCAGATTCCAGGTACCCAACCTTTCCCTCGGCTTGCAACCCATCGCGATCGATGAGTCGGAGCTAGGGGGCTGGAAGGCGATCATGATACTGCCCGAGATCTTGAGGAACAGGTGCAGGTCGATGGTGGTCATATCCATGGTGATCCGGTTCATGATGCGCCCCACCGGGTGCTTGTCAAAAAACCGATCCTTGACTTTTTGCGGGCAAAGGCCAAAACACGCAAAAGAATAAGTTGGTACCCTATTTTTTCTGTAGTCTATTTTCGTAGGGGAACCCTCCCCCCAAAACCGGGAGAGAAGGGCACCTAGCTGGGGGACCTAGATGTGAATTGGTGGGCACCACGCCAAAACCATTCGAGGTGCGATGGGGGCGTGCAGCAGGCGGCGGACCACCAGGGCGTGGATGTGCGAGGAGATGCGCAACGTGAAGCCTGCGCTTGAAACGGATTTGATCCCCACGGCGAAGGGAGGTCTTGGAATAGTCAAAGGGTTGAGAAAAAAGGACCGGCTGATGCAATCCCAAGCGGGTTTGCTCTTGTGTTGAGGCAGCAGGAACAGTGTGTGCTTAGGGAAACAAAAGCACAAACCGCAGCTTGGGTCCATTGCTGAAACCAACTGGGGGTTTGCTCAAAAATGCAGAACATGCAAGGTGAGGCCAGACAAAAGAATATCTAGCAGTCTCTGAGAGTGGATTGGAAACCAACAAAGGATTCAGCCATGAATGTGCCACTCAGCTGCTCTTTCCCCCGTTTGACAACAAACGGACCAATGAACATTGTAGCCGATTCCCACATACCACAAGCCTTGGTTGGATGCAACGGTCTCTCTGCCAAAAGTGAACCACTTTACGTGGGTTCAATCCGGAAAACCAAGTTGATATCAACCAAAAACAAACGGTAAAGCCTAAAGATCAAGAAACAGGCTTGCCAGTACATCGCAAGGACTCAGGCAACTGGCTCGACTCCCTGAAGCGAGAGCGGGCGGAAGCAAGAAATCTGCGTTGCCTCGAGGGCGGAAGCGGGGTGGACTCCAAAACCCGGAGAGGGAAGCCAGAAATCCCCAAGCAGTTGGGTCCCTCCAAAATGGATTTCGGTTGTCCTTTTGCGGTTCCTTTAAACCAACCCCAAAAAGGATACCAAAAAAGACAGACCCATATACTATGCCCAGCAAAATGCTAAGAGGTGGACCTCAGGCTCGAAAGAACCCCCTAAACCGCCAGCCTTTGGCTCATATCCGGATTCAAGGGGAGCTTGCTCTCACATCGGCTTTGAATCAGTATTGGACCTGCACATGCAGATCCAAAACCTGAAACCCGAATGAGACCCGTTCTTTTTTCAGGACCTTCAGGTTGGCCTCCTTTTGCTCCACTCCGCACAGCGCCCTCGTTTTGGCCCACGCTTCGCTTCGCCCGGAAGGCGCCTCCTCCGAAGTACCACCCGATGTACACCATGCTGGTGCCCGCGAAGAGCCAGAACCTCGGCGCCGGCTTTGCCGGCCTCCCCTCCCCCTGACCCTTTCTTCACAGGGGCGGTTGGAACCCCAAATTTAGGGGGATTCTCCAAAAAGAGAGCCCTCTAGAAAACGGCTCGTGTTTTGTTGGAGGTTCCAGGTTAAAGTCATGAGGTCTCACAAGGAGAGCCAAAGGACCGAAAAGGTACCGGTACAGAGATTAGTCCGACAACGACCCGTGAATGTATTTCCATGTGGGTGCACCAGGTACCGGTAGGGAGGGCAGTCCAAAAAACGAGCAGCTGACGTCTTGTCGCATTCCCAAACATAGGTGTCCTTTTTTTGGCCCTGGTAGTTGATTGAACCACCACGGAAACCAGGGCCCCCTATTTTTCGACCAAATCAAGCAAAAAGGACCCCTATGTTCCCAAACCCTGCTGAGACAGGACCTGACCTAAGGCCTCGGCAGGTAGCCACCGAAGTACCTCCCAGTCTCCTCGCGGAAAACGGGGGGCGGATGCATCAGGTCTTGGCTGCTGTGTCCTTTTTTGGGGCATCAAGGCGGTCAAGTGTCAAGGGTTTTTTTCTTGGTTGAATCGCTTTTGTAGGTTCAATCCACGAAAAGTGCATCAGGTCTTGATTGCTGTGTCCTTTTTTGGGGGGTGGTTGACCGAGGCCGTCAAGTGAAGTTCCCCCTTGGTTGCTGTAATGCTTTCTCTGATGAACCACTTTTTGTAGGTCCAATCCGAAAAATCGACGAACAGTCTCGACCAAAGATGTGAAAGGGATCCGTTACCAAATAGACGCAAAGTGGTTCACTCACTTCCGGCACAGAGAGAGACAGAGAGAGAGAGAGAGAGCGCGAGAAGCAGAGAGAAGCATTGGCCAAGTCTGAAATGGTTTCGCCATGGTCCAGTCCCAGATTTGCTGATCAAGCCCAGCAACTCGGGGAGACAAATGACTAAGACTGGGTCCATAAACGTGACATCCTCAAAACCACCCACGCAAAAAAAAGGAGACTTGAAGGGACGCACCCCCCCAAAAAAAGAAAGAAAGAAAGAAAGAAGTACTCTTGAGAACGGGTCCCTCAAAATGTGACCACAAACCAACAAACGAACAAACAAACAAACAAACAAACAAACAACCAACCAACCAAACAAACAAACAAACAAACAACAACACAAGAATACCACAAAAGAAGAAAAAAAAGAAAACACATAAAGAGGGGTGGCGTCGCATTCAGAAGATGGGTCCCGGGCTTGTGCCAAATCCTTTGGGACAAGTTTGGCAGGGGTGGTGGTTTCCATTTGCTCGCTACAAAAAGCCCGGGGGTCAAGTCCCAAACCACCAATCCAAACCACCCCTCCTGCTTCTCGTGGGCAAAGATCACCCGCAAACACAACCTCCCTATTACATGGGTCCACTAAGAAAGGGGGGTCACTGGGAAAGGGAGCCGATGTTTGTTTGCTTTTTTCGGGTCGTGGGGGTCGCTTATTTTGACATGCGCGCACACACACACATCGAACCTTTCCAAAACCCGGCAGCAATTCGGATGGCCCTGGAATTGTCGTCCTCAAGTCAGGGTATCCAAGCTGGAATCCTGGAATGGAAGACGCCTTGCTGGAAGGGAACTAGCCTTCGCAGAGAGAAAAACGATTTGTGACTATAGGGGCATACTATCTTCCGTTTGCAAATGCGTCCCCTGGAAAAAATGAACAGTAGTGATAGACTCCCTTCAAAACCAGCAGGAGAAAAAGCAAATCTTCTTCAGCAATTGGAAGTGTTTGGTGGAATCAGTGCCGAATCCCTTTAAAACCCTTAGTGTCTTCAGCAAATCGAAGCTTTCTCAAAAACCTTTTGGCCCGCAGCCTTGCCCTTTCTGTCGAGGCGCCACTGACGCATCGATCGCCAAGGCGTTGGTGCAGTTGGCCAGGGAAATGTCGCAAAGCCTGCGGTAAGCTAGTGGCGCACAGGCCGTTTTTGGGGGCGGAGTCGAAACGGTTGTTGTTTCAATCAAGAGGGTGCCTGGATGGCCAAGTTCCGGCTTTTTCCAGGCACTGTACCCAAAAACAGCCACAGTAGCTGGGAAAAGGCAGCAACTGGCAATCCAGGTTGACAACCTTTCTTTCAACCAAACTTTCAAGATCTGATCTATCGTTCAAAACTCGATGGCGCTGGCAAATGAATAGAAACGAAACTGAAACAGAAATGGACGTACCCCTCACATTTCAGAGAAACCGATGAGAAAGCACCGGAGAACCCCTGCAACTGATTGGTCTCATGGTTTTCGTTCAATACAATTGGATCCCGCATTGATTGGAGAAAAGATCTCCGAGCCTTTGCATGTCTAGAGTCATGCAAAGTCACCAAAAGGGCCCTAGTGAAACCGCCGCAGGAAGCTGCTGCTTTTGCCAAGATACGCGACGCCGCTCCGAAATCGGGTTTTAAAGTTGGCACACCTTGCAGATTAACTAGGTGCTCCAATAGAGAGGTTGAAAATTTGGGTATATTTTTTCTGTAGTCTATTTTAGTAGGGGAACCCTCCCCCAAAAAAGTTGGTAAAAGGGCACTACTGGGGGACCTAGTTAACCTCCCAGTGCTCCAAACATACGATCTGATTCTGCCGAACCTGTTTCGCCTCCCCTGAGACAGTCTTGGAGATCCCGGTCGCTCACCTTGAAGCGAATCTCTTGGGGAAAACTCGTTCAGGGCTCCAGGATGTTCTTTGCGCGGGAGTACGGAAGTATGTTTATTTGCTCTGGGGACAAATGAACGTGCTTTTGGCCTGGGCATGCGGGTTGCAGCCCTCTTTTGAAAGCTTGGTTAGATGTTTGCTTTGGCATCTTTGGACATGTCGAACAAGGCACTCACATTTCCAACCATTCGGATGTGCAATGATGCCGCCACCGCTAAAACTGAGCAACAAAAATGAAGAGAACTGAAAGCGTGCCAGTAACGGTATGAGACATTGACACATCCATAGCCATCCCTTGAAAGGCAAGTTTGGTTGAAAGCCCATGACAAGTCCATCCAGCCTTGTCCAAAAGGACACCCAAATGCACCCCATCCCCACCCAATTACCAACAAAAGGCCCCCAAATGGGCCCAATATCCCAAATGGGCCCAACATCCCAAAAGGACCTTCCACAGCAAATTGGAACTGTGTGAGCGGCGTATGTCAATGTTCACAGGTACCCTGTTGTAGGCTTCCTTCATGCCCCCCCAAACTCCCAAATACCCTGGCCAGGTGTATATGTGCAGCAATGAAACTGCTTTGAGGGGACTTGGGGCATGATTCGCCTTCACAGATTTAAGCATTAGGTTTGTCTCAAAATAGTTGAACGCCAAATATGATTGGTTTCATGTTGGTATCCAGAAACATCTTTAAACAGACAAGCAGGGGTCCCCAACAAATCACCAAGGCGCAGGTACAGGAAGAGGGTCAAGGAGAAGCAAACCAGTGCGTTCAAGAGGTTCCTCGGCGTCTGCGTGGCCACGGGACCCAGGCGGTCCCTTGAAAAAGTGCTGACTTGCTGGACCCGAAAGTTCACAAAGAAGACTACAAGATGTCAAAAGATCGGCGCCTGGGTAAAAGATCGGCTGTGGGGACAACTGGGAAAAGCGGGGTTGGGGGGGGGGGGGGTGCTTGCGAACCCCAGAGGGTCGTACCCCAGGGGTGGTACCCCAGGGGTCGTACATGCTGACCCAGCCGCCGCCACTTGCCAATGCTGATGTACCTCAACGTCATCTCCAAGGTGGGACGGCCTGAAGAAGCAGGTGAGCTGGCGCACCGTAGAATGGTAAATCATTCATCCTTGGAATTCTTTCCTCGGCTTGTGCCCCTCTCAAAAACTTGCAGAAATGCTTGGAACAACCCTGTCAACCACTCACTCACTCACTCACTCACTCACTCACTCACTCACTCACTCACTCACTCACTCACTCACTCACTCACTCACTCACTCACTCACTCACTCACTCACTCACTCACTCACTCACTCACTCACTCACTCACTCACATGCACACACACATCACCCAGTCACCCAAACAAACAAACAAACAAACAAACAAACAAACAAACAAACAAACAAACAAACACACACACACACACACACACACACACACACACACACACACACACATCACCCAGTCACCCAAACAAACAAACAAACAAACAAACAAACAAACAAACAAACAAACAGACAGACAGACAGACAGACAGAAAGACAAACAAAACCAAACCAAACCAAACCAAACCAGACAAGCAAACAAACAAACAGGCAAGCAAACCAGCAATCGAGCAAACAAGCAAGAAAGAAAGCAAGCAAACAAACAAACAAACACCCACACACCCACACACCCACACGACACACACAAGAGTACACAAGCACACATAAAACACACGCACACATGCACATACATACACCACACACCAAACCAAACACCGCACGAGGTTCCGTACCCACGGAGGCGCGCCTTCGTGCTCGCCTTGGTCCGAGACAAGTCGCGTCGCGTGGTTATCCGCTAACCCCCCTGCCAACTGCAAGGACTGAAGTGGCATCCAAAAAAAGAAAAACAACAACTTGCCGTCATGACATTTGATGGGGGGTGTCCAGGAACTTTAAAGACATTTGAGAGGGGTGTTTCATGGTGTTTCTGAATGGAGGGTAGGGGCTCGCATCTGAAAACCCTCAAAACCGACCTGCTTGGAAATCACCTTGTGGGTCATCCCGGCGACCCCAACCCCCACGTGGTGGTTGAAAGGGGCGTCCCGGCCCCAAAGAAAGCTTGCGAACCCTGCTGGTTGAGGGAAGGAGTCACCAAAACAATCAACCGGGGCTGCTGCTAATTCCCGAGTTCCCCATTGAGAAACCTCGCCTTGAGGAGTCTTACTCTGATTTTGGCCCTCGTAACTGAAACCGAGCCTACCAGAAATTAGTCAATCGATGTTGGGCGCTGCTCAACTGACCCTTGGCCCAAGTCTGACATCCACCTGTTTCTTCAGATGGTCCGAAACGCCCAGGTGGCATCCCAAACAGCCCTTGCCGCCTAACCCTCCCGCTCCGAACGTTGATTTTGATGAGGGAATCCGGGAGAAGGACCCAAACAATTGCAGGGGGGTGTGAGGTACTTCGAACAAAGGTGAGTCATGATTCTAGGGTGAAACCGTTTGCAATCATTTTGCCCCTGAAAAACCAATTGAAGGCTTTTCAGGTTTCCGCATGTTTCCGCCTCTCGGTGTTCCCTCCTTTTTTTTGCCCAGGCGAGAGGCTCTCGCGCAAGGCCATCGCGGGCACGGAGCTGGTCACGCCGATGCCCATGGGGCGCTGCTCCTGGCAGGCGGGGTCGCTGGTTGCTGTTGTGCTGGCTGCCTCACTTCCGAACGACTGGATGGGCTAACGGGTCCAAAAGGGTCCACTAAAATGGTCCACTAAAATTGTGTTTCCCACTTCTAAACTCAGTGTTTCCCACTCAATGCTCCAAACCCAAAAGGCTGAAAGTTCGGAACTCAGGGAGTGAGGTGCTTCAGGTGGAAAATGAGGCCAACTTCAGACTAATCCGGAGGGCCATATTCAGCAAGCCCCTTTTAGAAAGGGCTTCACCTAACTAGTGGGGACCTCCAGGTTAATCTGAAGCTAGCATTAAAAGGGCGCCGAATTGTGGCCGAATAGGCTGCTACAAGGAGAACCGTTCTTTTCACGAAATGCTGAGTGCCAAAAGTGGAAACAAGTTCTTGTTCAAAACAGTGTAACCAGTGCTACATAGGGGGTCTACGTACACATGACAGTACATGATTGTCCTGTACCAAAGTGCACCATCCCTACAACTAAAAAGGTCACTTTGTTCTGGCTCTCTTGAGTATGCTTCAACTAAGTGGGGGGGGCGGGGTTGGCAAAAGTGTCCAAGCTAAAAACGCATCTATCCCCTTGTGGGCCCCCTCGCAGGGACAAGGAAGAAGTCTTGGCCATCTAGCCCAGCCAAAGAGCGAGGGGCAACGGGTGCAACAACAGAAGCAAGGAAGAAACTTGCTTGGGGGTGTCTCAAAATGAGGAAACCTTTAAAGCTGTTGATGCCGACCCCGGAATATTAACCCCTGTTTATCAACATAGGTTTTAGTAGGGATTCATCACTTGTGGAGGGGATCACGCTCCCAAATGACTAAACAGGTGTTGCTTTCGGTTTCCCTTTAACCGCAACCAAAAGGGAAAACGGTCCTCCAAAAAAAAGACACACACACACACCATTAGAGTTTGAGCAGGTCTCGGGACCGAATCGTTGGACCTCCCATTCGCCCACAGCAAACCCGATCCCACCGATTCGGCCCCAAACATCACCAAACCAAGCCACTCTTCAACTCCCCTGGTGGATTGAAACCCACTCGGTGGTTTGGGGCCGTGTTTCGGTGGGATCTGGGGTTCAAACCCTCCGGGGGGCTCAGCCGCGACGCCTTGGAGGTCTTGGAGCCGATGGGCGTGTTCTCCTTCTCCTCCTGCCGCGGAAATGCAAACTTCACGCGAAGGATGCACGGGGCATTTGGGCATTTGGGCCGGCGGAAGTGGGGTGGAACGAGAACAAGGAAAAGAAACACGGAAGCACGGAACGCGGACAGAAACACCACCACAAGCCTTTGAATGTTAAAAGCCGCCCCACCCCCCCAAACGAAGAAAACGGTTTGGCCCCAAGACCACCGATTTGGGGGCGGGGGGCTTCCAAAAGGCAGCTGTCAGCTTCCCTGGTTGGGGAGGGTGGGCAAGGGAAATGACCAAAACCATTTTGACTTTGCCCGGCCCACAAAATGGAACCTGAAGAGCCTGGGAAACAAAACGCAGGGTTGGATGTGTCTTGCATATCCCCATCCAAAATGCGGCTCAAGATTCGCCGAACCGGTGATATTTACCCATGAGTGAAGAATCAAAAGCTGGGCTCAGAAAACCCTACCACCTCTCATGAACAGAGGCCAACAACCCGATGGTTCTGGTCCTCCCCAGATGAAATACGGCCAAAACAAATTATAAGACCAAAAGCAACCAAAATGCAAGAACTGAGGAATAAACGTCCGCCATGATAGGCCCCAACCAATTGGATGCGGGTGTGAACATAGCTCAACCCTAAATGCAGATATAGGAATCACCTTGAAAGCTCATCTTTGCGCTGCGCCACCTGTAACTCCCGCGCAGCACTTCCGGACCCCCAACGCACGTCTTTTTCATCCAAACTCTGCGCGCGTACCAAGCTCTGGCTCAAAATTGGGGCGCGTGACCGAGGTCTCCACCTTTGCGTTTGGTATTCAGTGTCAAAGGAACTAGGCTGGAATTAGGACCCCAGCAAAATATCATTTTTGCCTGATTTGTGGAAAACAAAGGGGACCCAAAAAAAGCAAAAAACCGAAAAGGGGAGCGAATTCTGGGGAAGGAAAGAACTTGATATTGTTGTGGATTAACTGGCCTTTCATGGCGCGCCGAGGATCCAACGACCACCCTGATGAGATTGAAGGCAAAAACCATAGGGGACAAACCCCACGAAGATTCCCTGGATGCTCTTGGACTCAGCAGATGGCAACCAGATGGCTGTGGGTCAAACCCTGTACCCCTGGTGAACATCAAAATAGGTGGCAAATGGATGTTCATCCACCCCAAAATGGAGCCATAGGTTATGCCCCATGGCCAAATGATTTTGAGCCAGCGAGCCCTGTTTTTCAGGAGCAAAAGAAGCCCGACCCATCGCTCCGATGGACTCGAGCGGATAACCGCCGTGGAAGTCGAAGGGCCCTGGGAAAAAAACAACTTAATGTTGACCCCGGATTAATAAACCCCTGTTTATTGATATGGGGGTCTTCCCTCCAAAAGTGATAAATCTCGCCTAAAACCAGCGACACCCCAATTGATCTGAATTTTCCTGACATGGGAATGGATCCACCTGGTGAATCCTGGGTTCCTGGGCACCAAAGTGTGACTCGCACTCAATGCTTCTCCCGTCGACTTCCTTCAAAAATGGCCGGAGCAGCCTGTCGCTCCGCTTTTCAAACATGTTGTGCCGTGAGGGCTCCGTCTCAAAACAGCCGTTTTGTTGCTAAGCGTTTTTTTCCTCCTTCTTCTCAGCCAATGCTCACACTGCAGGATGCCAAAAGGGGAACCACAAGGAGCAAACAACTCTCGGCGCTAAAGAACCATCAGATCCAACGATACATGTCCAACCATGGACTCATGCAAGCAGTCCTTAGTCTTTCCATCCTGTTGGGGCCATTCATGTGGGCAAACAAATCTGCGCCGGACATCAAGTGACCCAACGAAAGGGACCTTTACAAGTGAACTTTGCGCGGTCCTGTGCTTCCATTTGCTTAAGCCCCCGATCCCCGGAAAAGAATACACATTTTTCTCAGCGGTGGTAGATTTCCTTCAAAGTCAACAAGGGAAAATACACGCTAACATTCATTGCAGCAAATGGAAGTATGCCAACTGCGACCCACCCACCTGACTCCCCGGCTCGCTTCTTTTAACGTGGCTCCAAGGTCGCCCTCTGGACACTCCGCGCGGCCGAGCTCAGAGCTGGAAGCTCGGCGTGGACTTGGAGATCTCCAGCTCCTCGCTTCGAGGCGCCGGATTCGGGCTGCAAAGCCTTGTAATGTTGACCCAGGATTAACATTAACAGACCAGTCCCATTATTCCTCCAAAAGTGGTCCCCACTAAAAGGGGACACCCCGCTATGAATCAACCAGGGGTATATTAATCCAGGGTTAACATTATGCCTCACTTCCTGAGCCAGCCGCCCAAAAAAGCGTCGAAACGTACGTTTTCGTCTGCCACCAAAATGGTCCAAGCCCAAAAAGCTGAATGTCAGTCTACCGCCAAAATGGTTCAAACCCAACAAGTACCAAAAAGTCCACATGAACTCAGGGAGTGAGACTCTTCAAGTCATTGAAAAGCCTGGAAACCTTGGCCTCGAAGTCAGCCTTCGCCCTCCACCCCCGCCTCCCCCCCATTCATTGCGCAGGGAACGACCTTGGAATTGGGCAAAGGGGACCGCCTCTTACATCTTCAGTGGTTGGAACGGACCAAGCCAGGTTTCAAGCGAAATCAAAGGAGAACTGCAATTTTGGTGGTCCCCTTCTTCGGCACATACGTAAGTGGAATTTAGAGGGGCCCAAATCCACAAAAACAACCAAAGATACTATGGCACCGACCCCCCCCCAAAAAAAAGGAAGTGCACAGGCTCCTGTTCCAAAGGATAGTCGTCTTCCAAGCGGGTTGGTGCAAATCCACGTTTGTTGATGGAAGTTAAGCATGGTGCTAACGGAGTGCCAGTTTCGGCTGCTCAGTTCCCCAAAGGGAAGCGGGTTCCGCCCGAGTCGCCCTGGCGGCTCGAAGCTGAGTCGATGTTGGGTCCGGTCACCCAACGCCAAAGCACAGTTCGACAGTTAACAAAAATGATTTCAGACGCCTAAAACAACTAAGTGTGTCTGAAACCAAGTGTGGGCCCGTTTTCCTTGCAAAGTCTGGAGCGCCATCTTCGCTATTAGTGGTGGGGATACCACGGTCAGGGGGTCTTCCCTATTGGCGGCGGATTTAATGTGAAACCTTGGGCCCCAACCTGAGGTTGCCCGGGAGTCCGAACTGGGGCCTAAAACCGGGAAATCTCCCGATTGGTCCCACCTCATGAGACCTATGGGCTCAAATTGGCCCAGGTGATGCTTCTTGGCCAGCAAAAGGAATGGAAGAAGACCTGCGAAACCATGACAGCTGCCAACCAGAACGTGTTCGTCAACAGGTAAGGCTCTCGGCTTAGTACTCCGATGTCAATGGGGCCAAAGCCTTCGTGCTTTTGGCTTTAGCCCAACTCTGGGCACAGTGCACCAAACAAATGCTCAGACTCTGCGTCATAGTTCGCCTATAACCCCTAAAATAATAAATAAATAATATAATATGTCATAACCTTATGTCACATTCAAAGAAACAATATATGCAATAAAAATATGAAACTAACATATATATATATATATCAATATGGTGTATCACATGAATCCTGTTTTTTGAGGAGGCCGACAGCTCAGGGACCCCATTTTTCCCAGCTTGGGCCTCAGCTGCTCGCCCGTTTCCCTTCCCGCTCGTTTCTGCGGGTGCTCCTCCTCGTTCATATCGGCGGAGATGGCGGCGAAGAGGGGCGTGCTGAGGTACCGCTCCCCGGTGTCCGCCAACATGGCCACCAGGGTCGAGCCCTCAGCTCGGGCGGCGGGGCGACTGCCGGGGGGGGGGGGTGCTAGCTGCACCCCGCTTTTTGTTTTGTGTGCTTCTTTTTTGTTTGGGGGTTGAATGTGGGACATACCACTTTCAGGTCAAGAACCATTTGCTCACTCCCTGATACCATTTTGAGGACATACCATTTCTGAATGTTGGACAACCAGCAATAAGTTAGACAAACAAAAAACGTGTCAAGAACCATTTGATCACTCCCTCAGTTGGACATTGGCCACCTTTACGGGGAAGACCGCAGCGACTAGAAAATGGTGCTGTTTTGGGGCCAATCCACTCAGCCCCTGCTCTGCCCATCTTCTTTTGGGGGACCTCTTTGTTTAGATTCACACCCCTTGGTATGGTAGCAAACAGCTTTGTTTTTGTTTTTGCTTTTTTGCAGCCCTACCAAACATGAACTGGGGGAGGTGTTGCCCCGTGTTTTTCCCCCGCCACTTCGAGGTTCCGCGCCTCGGGGGCCTTCTTGGCCATCTCCACGGCCGCGTACATCGAGGCGCCCCCGGAGATCCCGGTGAAGATGCCTCGGCTGCCCCGAAGACCCACGGTGGGTCGGGGGACAAAAAAAGAAGCGGGGCCTTTTTTGGGGTTGATATGTTTTCTTCTTTGTTTTGTTTGATCATTGTGTTGTTTTATTATTATTGTTTATTGTTGATGGTGTGTTGTTGTTATTTGTTTAGTTCATTGTTAGTGGCATTATTCAGAACAATGTTATTCTGGTTCTTGATCTGTTTTTTCTTATTCATATACCTTATGCCTTACATGTTCTTTCTTTGTTTGGGGGAGGGGGGGTGGGGTCCCTTGCTGATGCGAGAGGCAGGGAAAGAGAAATGGAATGAACCGGATCCGGGTTCCCTTTTAGAGGAAACCAAATCGGAAATGGATGGTTTGAATCTATCTCATTCCCTCAGCACCAGCAAGCCTGGTGACCTGAACCTAGGCAGGTGGCTAGGTGGGTGAAATCAGCTGGTTTTTGCTTGTGTTTGATTTTGTTTGTTTGATTTGAACCTGCCCTTCTTGATAGGGTGGTTCATCCTCCAAAAGTGATGAAAATCCACGAATCCCCATTGAAAGGGGGCCCCCAATATTCATCAACCAGAGGTGTACCAATCCGGGGTTCCATTCTGGAGGCTGAAAGGGAAGCAGTTACGGAACACCTTCAAACCACGCTCCAAATCACAAATTGGCCGGAAGCTGAGAGAAGAAGTGACTTCTCCCCCCCCCCCCACCCCAACAAAAAAACAACAACTGGAGGGAAGCTGAGAGAAGAATTGACTCCCCCCCCCCAAAAAAAAAAAAAAACGGACGGCATACCCATTTGCACCAGGCCTTATAAACTTCCCTTTTTCGTTGTTCCCTTTAGGTAACCAGACCGGATTTCCATAGGGGAAATAATTCGCATCTGTCTGTTGGTAGTTGACTTTAAAGGGCCCCCCCTCCAAAGAACAGGAACAGAACACTGAAAAAATGGCGGGCATAACTTCCTGGGTTTTGCTAGGCAAAGAGAATATCCTGCGTTCTTCTGCTAGGCAAAGAGAATATCCTGCGTTCTTCGTTTTCCTTGTAGGATTTTAAAGCTGCAGGGTTCCCATTGGTCCCCTATGGGAGGGTCCAAAACAATTGGGGGGGGGGCACGCCTGAGAACGCTTGGCTTCCTTGTGATCTCCCTTTGGGTAGCATGCAAAAAGGGGCCCCCTATAAGCAGCATGAAACCTCCACACTTCTCAACCCGCTGTAGGAAACAAGGGCGTGTTTGGACACCTCAAGGGGTCCAGCATGAAGGGTGAAGATGCTAGGAAACATTCGGTGGATTCCCACGGCCACAAAACACGCTCACCTTTTCACCCTCTGTAGGGGGCGGCCATGTCGTCCGTTTGAAACCTCAGGTCTTTTAAAGTTTGCCAATCTCTTCTTTGGTTCCAGCTTCGACTAAACCAGGATAGCACGTGTTTGAACCAGCCACACCTCGCGCACCAGACTGGAGACCCTTGGACAGGAACCCCAGGAAAGGGCCGGAAAAGGTAAGCGGGTCCGATTCTTTGTTTTCTCCGGACAAGACCCTGTGCCAGCCAAGCTGCCCTGGGTCCGCGCCAGCTGCTGAGACATCCTCAGATCGACCGACCATCTGGGAACGGGCGCCTTTTCAGGAGCTGATCAACGGGTTCCAGGGGTTCTTGACATGTAGGCGGCCCTAGGGGTGTTTCCAAGGTAACAACAACCGTTGAGATTCGGCGGTAGGTCGTTGGTGAGAAGGAAGGATCTATAGCGACCTGTTGGCCGCTTGTACGTGATTATGTCACGTCCTCGAATCTTTGCCCCTTGTACAGTTCCTCTTTCTTACCTCTTGAACACCGAGAACGAGACTAGAACGAAAGACACGTGGCTTACGAATTAGGTCTAAGGCCAAACCCACACTTTCGAATGGAGTGCCACCAAAAAGTGCTGGCATACTTGTATTACCTCGGCTTGTTTGCCCTTACCAAAAGTCATATGTTTGATCCTGGTCCGAGCCCGATTGATCCCTATGCAAATCACTTGAACAGAAAATCCCGGGTTAAGCACAAGGGGAAATAACAACTCACCTCATCACTCCCCTCCCTTAACCCATCTCATGTTGAAGCAGGAACCAAAGAACAACCAACAGCATCACATGCCTCAGAAGTGAAGGTGGGTTGAATCTCGAAAAGAAGAACAACTCCAGCACCTAGATGAGCAGGGAGTTAGCTACGATGTACCCTCAGTTTACCCTCCGCTGTTTCGCAGCCACCCCCAAAAGGTAAATGATAAGAATTGGGTGATGATGGGGGACCCAAAAAAACTCTCCAAATCGCAAATTCCACTATAAAGGGCCTGCATCAGAGAAAAAATGGTTGAGTTTCTGTAGGGGCAACAATTTTTCTCCTGTTGGTTTTCCCTTAAACCGGGGTGTGCGTGCCCCAAAAACACGCAGACACCCCCCAAATAGAGGCTCCTGTTAGCACATCCCCCCTCCAGTTCGAGTCGAGCTTCTGGATGGCGGCCTCCCCAGGGATGGGGACGAACTCATCGTAGCCCGTGGTCGCGATGCCGTCCTCCGTGATCTTCGGGATGAAGTCCGGCGTCCAGCCCTGGACGGATGGATGGATGAACCACAGGGATCGATCCGCTGGTCGTTTGCTCGACAGTGGCTGTTTCAAAACCCCAAGGCCAAGGAGTTGACTTTTTGCCGGTCTTTCTTGCTGGACTTTTGTGGCTGGTCGGAAACCTAAAAAGGCAAGAAGTTCAAAAGGTCAGCCAAGCCTGGCGATGGACACGTCGTATCGACGGATCGACGGATCGACGGATCTCGGAAGAAGCTCCAGATGGATCACTGCCTTTTGGTTTTCATATGGGTACAAAGCTATAGGCTTTCCCTGCAAGCCCAATAAGCCACAGGGCAGGTAGGATCACCTACTGAAACGTCCTTTGGAATTTGGGGGGCTGGGGTTTGTAAAAAAACCAGTTTGAGGGAACAGTGGGTGGAAGACGCAGATGTTTAATCTCCAAAGCGCACCAAACGGGGATGTCTCGCATTTCTTTCCGGGCCCTATTGATCCCAACCAGTCAGACGGATCCCTGCAGCTTCGCCCGAAAATCGAGCGGAGACGATAATGCGGATTTTGGGCATTCACCCCTTCCAGGGTAAAAGAGCAAAGCACATGTGGAATCCACAAAGCTAAGTGGGTTCAGAAGGACTAACACCTGCGGTCCCATGGTGGTTGAGCTTTGACCTTACAGGGCTCACCGGATTTCCCAAACCAAATGTTGATCCATTTACTGGGTGTCACTACAACTAATCCTTTCGGAACTAACCCAAGCAGGGAACTGGCTCGGAAACCTGGGTGAATCCCAATTTGTTAATGCAATTCTGAGGGTCCAGGGAGACCAAACTGGTTGGGAAATGGCTTGCCTGGGCAAATCCTCCCTTCTCACTTGGGCAATTTTGTAGGGTCCAGACAGACCAATCCCTGCCGCCTGGATGGGGTGGGGCTTGAAGGCCGGGTGCGAGCCCGCGGCGGAGCCGTCGGGGTTGCGCTCGCTCTTCGTGCCGCTGGCCACCAGCGGCGCGTCCGCGGGCTCGCCCAGGCACACCTGGCGCGCGCTCTCCGCACGCTGGTGCCCGGAGCCCCTTTGAGCCACCCCCTCCCCTGCCAATATGGAGCCACAGGAAGGAAACATGCGGCCATTCTACAAGGGACGTGGTTGAAAGCGTGTACATTCCAAAGGGCAGACCCCCCCCCATCGCGGGTCAAAATGCGGTCCTACAAAGCACATTGGGGGACTTGCTTGCCCAGGGGGCCTGGGGACCTTGGCTGAAAATGGGCCAAACACGGCAAGCCCCGAAGGAAAAAAGGTCGGCCTTTGAACTGAGCATATGCGCGAGTCAAGGGACGACACCCCGAAACCGGAAGCGGCTTCTCGCGCCTTGATCCCCGGGAGCTTCTCCTTCAGCGCCTTGCCGGCCCCTGCGAAAGTGCCCCCCGTGCCGTAGCCCAGCACGAAGTAGTCCAGCTTCCTCAGACGGACCGCCCGGTCACCGACACCAAAGCAGTATCAAGACTGGAGCAAACGACTGGAGCAAACGACTGGAGCAAACCACTGGAGCAAAGGACTGGACCAAACAAACAAGATGCGCTAACGTTCGTCGGGCACACCTTTTGGCCTTTGGGGAACGCAGGGCGCCCTTGGGTTCCATTGGACATAGCCAGCTTTGCGAACACACACAAAAGAACCAAACACGCCAGTTTGTATCGGAAATACAAGGTGATCACCTGGGGCCACTACAAATGGAACCCAAAACGGAAAATCGAAAGATGAAGTTCAGGGTCCTAAGCGCCGAATTTGTGTTACTCTTTCGGCCGATCTTTTTCGGGGGACTTCCACTGGATTCCAAGAAGCTGCGGTAAACTTTCTGCCGGGGAATCCGGTTCTTGCCGCAAAGGGGCGTTCATTCTTGGGCAGGCGCCCCCGAAGCAAGTTCCCAAACGGGAGTCAAGGGAAAGGTCACTTGGCGCCCAAAGAAAACTGGCCCTTGGATCCCTAAAGGTCAGACTTTCCCCTGCAAAGGGTCTTCTCACTATTCTGTGGCTTGGATTGGTGGTTTGGAGGTGTTTCGGGGCCCCAAACCAATCCACCAACTAGGGGGAAGCCGATTCATGGGCCTTCGCTCGTGAAGCGGTCCAATTGAGCCAGCCGAGCGGCATCCCAGAGAAGTCGTTGAGGATCTCCTCGAACCAATCCCCGGTGGGGAATTCGAAACGTGGAATAGGGATCCTTACATGGAAAAACCCCTGAACATTGCCTTGTAAATCGTGGTTCCCTTTATTTTGGTGGAAAAAGCCATGTTTCAAATGGTTGCAAAATGTATCTTTTAAGGAGCCCTGTTGAAAATGTTGAAAACAGAAATGGGGGCGGATATGCACAAGAGCCGAGAAAGGCAAAGCAATACGCCGCAAAGCCCAAAGCAGGCAAGACAGACGCAAAGGAACACCGAGCAACTCAAAGTCACTTAACGTCTTGCTGTGTGCTTCGCTTTGGACAGATGTGAGATATGTCACAGCGCTATTACAGAATTTGCCTTCCCTGGTGGGAACTTCCATTTTGAGTGAGTGCAAGCTTTCAGACTATTTTCTTACACTCCTAGTTATCCAACGGGAGTTTCTGGTGGTTTCAATGTTAGCCGGCGAGGGGGTATAATCAGCTTGATCAATGACTGACTCCCTGCAAGTGAGTTGCTTGGTGAAGCGGCAGTCATGTTCCTAAACTCATTTCCCGGGATTGGCCTAACACGACGCTTTGCGTAATATCTCTTCTTTCCCATCTGCACCAACTTGGGAAGCAAGCGAAAACGGGGCCTGCCATTTGCGTAAGCCCACTGGAAAAAATAATCATTTTCCCAGTAGTGATAGGTTCCCTTTGAAACCAACAGGGAAAATACAAAATCTTCTTAAGCAAATAGAAGGAGCCAAAGGTGATCTGGTGATCTGGTCACTTCCCGAACTGTCTCGGTTGCTACGTCGGTAAAATGGCCGTTCGTATCCCACCCATTTGCGAAGCATCCCTTGCCGGAAGCAGCCAGGCAAAGCGCGCAGCTCCGCCTGAAACACCCCCCATCCGCAAAATGTTTGCACGACAACTTCCACTGCTGTAAGTGTTGGATTCCCAAACCGACCACAGGTTTGCGCTCGTTAAACCAGATGGGTGAGCTCGATAACAACCCCCCCCCCCCAGCCTGACCGGTGGTGTCGTAGTGGAACTTGGCGTTCGCCTCGTTCTCGAACCTTGCTCAAAGCAGCGCTGGCGTCACGTCTCGTTCGCGTCGTTTTTTTCAAGGGAAGGACGCAGAACCGCCGCAAATCGGAGCCGTGGCAAAGACTCCAAGACCCTTTTTCGTAGTTGCTCACTCCAAGACCCTTTTTGTTGGTTGATTTGCAAAGGGTCCCCCGCCAGAAGAGAAAAAAAACACTCAAGAACAACGGAGACCAAAAAATCGAAACCCCTCGGAGGTCTGGGCTTCTTTGAGCCCTCCGCCCCTCATCCCTCTGGCGGTTCCCCCCCAAAAAAAAAAGAAAAGAACATGAAACAAACCATATGTGAAAAAACAGACCCCCCTTGGACTCCTTTTTCCCCAGGGCCCCCGGGCTGGCGGCACAGGAACCAGCCGTGCTTCTCCGAGAGCTCCTTGGCCTTGGCCACCATGCCGCTGCCCTTCCCCGCCTTCGGGGTGACGATCACCTCAGCCGACTCGAGCGGACGCGGACCAGGCCGCTGAGCCGACTCGGCTAACGGCTGAGAGCCGCGTCGCCCCCCCTTCTGGGTGATTTCCTTTTGGTTTACCTCTACAACCACCCCCTTTTCTCGGGGGCTACCCTCAGAACAAACGGACCGCCCCACCTCGCCCTGCACGGCACCCCAGGCCCCACTCGCCTTGGCGCCGAGGAAGCGCATCAGCTTCCGGCGCTCGATGGAGAAGGGCTCCGCCATGGTGATCACGCACTTGTACCTCGGCAAAAGGATGGCAAGTGCTTGGGGTTCGTGGAGGAGGAGGGAAAAAAAGGCAAGCACGCGGGGCTTGGGGGTCGAAAAAGCAAGGGGGGGTGGAAAGGCGGGGGCTATAGAAAGGCGGGGGATAGACAAAGAAAAACTAGGGATAGAAAAAAGTGGGGGTTCGAAAAAGCGGGGGATAGAAGTTTGAGGGGGATGGAAAAAGTGGGGATAGAGAATGTGGGGGATAGAAGTTTGAGGGGTACCTCCATGATCTTTGCCATCTTTGGTACCTTGGGAGACGAAAAAGCGGGGGGCTGACTTGGGATGGAAAGCCAAGTCAGCAAACTGAAGGTTCTTCGGGGAAAGGGCGCCTTATGGCGCACCTCCACGGAGGTAGAAAATGTGGGGTTCGAAAAAGTGGGGGATAGAAGTTGGAGGCCTCAATGATCTTTGTACCTTGGGGTGCAGAAAAGTGGGGGGGCTCAGGATGGTTCAAGGGTGGACTGACTTCCTGCAAAACGAACATGGAAGCTGAAGGTCCCTCAGGCAAAAATTTTCGGCTGGGAATGTTTGATGTGTGACCCTCCTTTGTTTATCACGCACTTGTACCTCGGTTCTGGCAGGGTTTAGGCAGGGTGTAGGCTTCACCACTTTGCTGCTGTCACTTTCACGTTCCGAAGGTTTGTGTGGTCCCAGGGTTCCAGGGCTGGGCAAAGCATGCTCAAACAAGCAAGCCGCACAAGCTTGTTTCAACAAGGCTCGATGAATCACTGGCCCAACTCTGGCTCTATTTGGCAGGGCTCCAGGGAAAATATTTTGGGATGCCCGCTCTCCGAGTCTTTGGAGCTTTTAAGAAGCTTCTAAGCACCTTTCCTCAGGGGGAGAGCCATCAATGCAGAAGGCCGTCCGGTTCGTTTGCATCTTCCGGTGGCTTGAGACAATTCGCCACTTTCAAGTGGTTCGATGTTTTGGGTGTCTTTTGTGAGGGTACCGGTTGGTTTGAAATGGAGAACAACTCCACTTTCGTCTTGTTTTTTTTTTTTTTCTTGGGGGGGGGGGCCTGAAAAAGTACACCTATGTGTTTTCAGGTTGGGAACGTTTCGCTCTCCGTGTCTTCCCTCCGGGGACCCCCGCCCCCTCTGCGCGCAAAGCATGGCCACCGCAATGCCCGTGTTGCCGCTGGTGGCCTCCCAACAGCAGCTCTCCAGTCCAAGATCTGCTTCCCTCTATTTGGCGGTTTGGATGGTGAAATGGAGGAGTTGCCCATCCACCCTCGACACAAGCCAGGGGCTCAAATCCTGAAACCGCCAAATCCAAACCACCAACTAAGGGTTACCTGACAAAAGCCCGAGGTTCAATAACAACGTTTTTAGAGACAAATTATGAACACGTCCGGGGATAGATTCCCTCTAAAGCCAACAGGGAAAATAAAAGAATCGCTTTCCCCTTGGCACTTTTTTTTCGAACTTCTGGTCAACAGGAATGAAGGAAAGCCAGCGAGACCAAAGGTCAAAAGGGAGGCGGCTGCGCCCTTCGGCAACCCGTCCGTTGTGGCTTGGAAGAACCCCCAACTCAAGTGCCCAGCTTGGACCCAGACATACGATGTGATCCACCTTTTTGGGGCCACTCAAAACGGGTATGGGTCAAAATTAAACCACCAGGACATGGACCGCAGGTTTTAGTCATTAAAGTCCATGTGTCCATTTTTGAGGGCAACCCATTTTGGGGTTGCCCAATGTTTGACCAGCCGAATGGACAATAAAACCATTTTCAGCTCAGATCCGTTTCCTTCGAATTCGCTTTGGCCCAGGCCTGTGGCCAATGGACTGTGATACAACAAAAAGGGACTCCCAATGCACTAACCCCCGCTGTGGTTGGGTTAGGATTCCGTCGCCACGCCGATGATCGCCACTTTATGACACCCATCCTCTTTGCGACGCTGATGATGACTCGAAAACGACTACAAAAAGAGGGATATGCCCTGTAGTCACAGTGGGGGTTAACCCCGATTGCTCCCGCAACCCTGCTTTGGACCAACTTCCCAACCACTCGCCGCTTGGCTTGCGGAAGCCAAGCGCCTCGATGACCGTGTCCCCGGGCTTCAGCTTCCCCGTCTTCTCGGCGTCCTCGATGATGGCGCAGGCCAGGCGGTCCTTGACGCTGCTCAAAGGGTTGAAGTACCTAAGCCGAAGGCGAACTGAAGGGGCGGTGCTCCCCGCAGAAAGGGCGGCTGTTTGAAAGAAAAAACAAAGGGAAAGCACCGGCTCAACGTGGGGCGCCTTCAAAATAGGGGAAGGCTGGCCGGCCGCTTTGCCATGGCCTTGCAGAAAAAAGGGGACTGCGTTTGTGCAGCCCCCGACCCGAAAAGATGAACAGAACCAAAACAAAAGGCACTTGCCAAGAACAGGAACACTGAAGCTTTGTTGGGGCGACACCCCAAAAAGAGCCTATGGGCCTCCCAGTCACAGCGCCTTTCTGCGAAAGCACCGGAAACCCAAGAGGTTGCAATACCTCCAGAAAACCGAAAGAGGACCAGGTGCGGATTTTGCCAGGCACCCAGGACAGCAATGGAACCCAGTGGCAAGATTGCCCAACGCAAGGCCGATACCTCGCAACCCGCGCCAACCGCGTGAACGGATTCAAAATAAGACCACAACAAATCGAGAAAAAGTGGGGCTGGCCGGAATTTAATCAACCCCATTGGGGTAAACATAGTGAAACGATTTGGTTGGCACAAGAATGGACAGATGGAAACTAGGGCCGCTGTAGAGCCCTGGGCCGGTTTCATGCGCTGAACCAGTCACCCCAAGTAGGTCAAAGGGACTCTTGGACCACAGTCAGCCCCCCAAGTAGACCCAAAAAGAATGACAAACGACAAGTGGTGTAATGTTGACAAAAGGCCTGGGCTTAGTCGGGGATGAGACCACTTTTGAAGGGGAACACCATGGAACACCCCCCTAATAATAAACACAAAACTGGGGCTGATTAATATGGGGTCAGCCCTGCCGCGCTCCAACAAACCACGCCGCGCCTTCATTCTTGGTTGCTGACCCCTCTGCGAACAGTTCTCAACTTCTGGTGGGTTTAGTGAAAGCCCATTGATTTCGGATTTGGCAACTTCAAGCGAGAAAGCCCACCCATACAGTCACCAACTTTAGCCACATCACAAAAAAGTCAGTCTAAAGATCCAACATCTTGCTTTAACTTCACGCGGCCAGCCGAGGCCGAAAAGGCTGGCGTGGAGAAACGGGACGCTCCCCATAGTTCCCCAAGCATCACACCCAAGGGACACTCACCTTTCATGGGCCAAAACGGTGATGTTTAAAACCAAAAAGGGAAACATTGGGACCAGGGAAACGTGCACCCCTGGAAGGGTTCTCTCAGCTACTCTCTAATTGGTGGTTTGGATGGGTGGTTTAGAAATCACCAAAAAGGAAATATAGGAATCGACCCCTCGTCAAGCGAGACGCTCCAGCTTCGCGTAGATGGTGCGGCCCTTGGGGCAGATGGCGTCAGAGATCTTCACGCAGGGAGTGTTCCCCACCTCGACAAGGACAGGCGGGGAACGGTCGAAAACCCCAAAAGGGTTTGCGTCCATTTGGTTAAGACCCCTGCAAACAATAAAAATAAAATAAAAATACAGTAGTGATAAATTCCGTTGAAAACCAAAAAGGGAAAATGAACATATTCTTAAGCAAATGGAAGTTTGGATGGGGTGGGGCTTGGGCGCCTGGGGGTGGGTTGTGGGGGGAGTTGTGGTGGATCTGGGAGTTGGGGTGCGGTGTTGTTTCCCTGCAAACCAACCTGAGCAGGGGCACTAACTCAAAAAAAGAAACAGCGAAACTCCGGTATTTGACTCCAAGTGGGCAGTGCCCAAAACTGATCCCCGAAAGGGCGCTGGCACGGTGCTACGCTCCACTTTCTCTGGTACAAATGAGGTTGTAGTAACGCTTACACGACCTTACCATTTGAATAGAACCAAGAGGAGTTCCCATCATTCCCCATCCAACAAGGGTGTTTCTGGAAATGGTGGACCCCGGACAAGGGCCCCCGAAAAAAGGGCACACAATCGTTGGCAGTGAAACCACCTAACGCCCAGAAACAAATTGTTTCTTGCCATCTACACCTGATCTCCCTTTGAATCAGTTGGTCAAGGTGGTGCCTTGCCCAAAGTGCATCCTTTGAGGAATGTAGACTCACTTCTGAGGGCCGAGAGGCCACAGAAACCAAGGCAGCCATGGAGAAATGACATACATGATGGCTATCCGCAACCAGCCGACAACTCTGTCCAAGTTTGGTGGGAGGGCTCAAACTGAAGCTCTCATCCTCCAAAGGTCCCTCGGAACCTGCGGATCAAAGGGGGTCTGATCCCCGATCGGCACCGGGGTAGGATCAAACTTGTCAAAGGGAACCCAAAGGGAACCAAAGGGGCCTCCTGTGATTCGATCATGGATGGGTTTTCGGCTTGTTTCAAGGAAGTCACAGGAAACCGGACCAATTTTCTAGCGTTGCGATCGTCTCAAGTCTCAGCCAAAGGCCAACCCTGACTTTCTGGGTTGCAATCCCGAGGATCACACCTCACTTCTGATGCACACACACACACTTGCATTGCATCTGCCCACCCCCATCATCCCAAACAGACCTCTCCTCTTGAGTGAAATGGCAACGCCCTTGCCATACAAACGCTTGCGTGCATGCACTGGCATGCAATCAAGCCTGACCCCACATGCAGTCTGCGAGGCTCGCCACTTAAACGCAACAAAAGGAATTAGCAGACAGAGAGAACAAGACTGGGGACAGCCGCTTCGTCCCCGTCGACGCAACAAATATCAGGTGACAGGAAGTGTATTCCGGGCATTGAACGCAGGAACTGCACAGACCCACTTTGGTTTAAGCAGCGGTTCTAAAATGAAACATGGACTTTGCCAACATGCCGTCACAGGCTCAAAAATCACGGCGGCCCTGCTGGAGCATTTTGAGGGAAATTAAAGATGATTGGCGATTTGGGAGAACCTAGCGAACAACTGGCGGGCCGTTTTTGGGGAAAGCAAAACCCCGTCCACCTAATAAAACCACGAATGAAAGTACAAACTACTTGTTAAAAACAAAAAACAAAAGTTCCCCAGTTCCAGCTTTGGGATGTCCAGTCTTGTGGTTTTGTTCACTGGTGGTCTGGTCATAAGCCCAAAACTGTTGCGAGTTTAGTCTGGGGTACAAATTGAGCTATTGTGATTTAGTACTGGGCCCCCAGGGTCTTGACAACACATGTTTATCATTCGGGGGACCCTATTGATTGGGGGAAAGGCAACACAACCGCTGCCTTGGCTGCTGTTGACCCCTCTGCAAAAAGTCTTCCACTTTTCGTGAGTACGGAAAACCCACAAAGTGGCCACCACAAAGCTGCAAGCTACCGACCTCCGCCTCCCCCGGCCCCTCCCCTTACCTTGGCCCCTCAGCCGCCCCAGCCCTCGCTTAAGGCGCCGTCTCCGTGACGTTGTCGTAGACCCGCCCCCGGCCCTTGCCGCGGTCCGCCGTGCCCGCGGCGGCGCCGCCGGACATGAAGGGGAAGCAGCCGGCCATGGCGCTTTTCGGTCGATCGCAGCGGAGACGCGTGGAGTCGCCGGGAGCCAAAAGACTAGAGACGCGCCGACGCTTTTTTCAAATTGGGGGGATTTCCTTAGTGGCACTGAAGAAACATTGTGGAACATAACCCTTAGGGATGCTTCAAATGAGGGAAAACTATCCGCCAACCACTTTTGATGTGGTAAAACTTGCCCAGATGGGGTGTTCTCTCACACTTGGGGGCCCTACAATGGCTGTTCCCTTTCAAAACCAATCAGGTCCACCATTTTGAGAAACACTCAAATGGGTATGTGCGACCACCTAAAGCTAAACATTGGGGACACCCCTTTCAGCCGGTGTATGGGTAAATGTGGCATGCAATCTTCTTGTTATGCTGGATGGCTCTTTTGGAAGGTGTTTGATTCGTTGAAACCAAGGCGTGAGGATGTCTCGACATCGGCGTAAGCCTTCAGACCTCCAAATTATCTGAACTCCTGAACGCAATTGACAACCCGCTAAGGCCAGATGCTCCCATGTCTAGGGGCGTCCAGCGTTCCTGGGACAAATTATGAAAATGGCAGGGAGTGGGGGTCCCCCAGTTCCACTGATCTAATCTTTCCCATAAATCTAAGGTTTGATTCCCCATTCTCTTCACCCATCATTCTCCTTAGACACCACCTATTTTCCAGGGATTGGCCCGTTTTGGGATAAGAAGGATCCCTGAAGGGAACCGGGAGGGTAGAGCTAGAATAAAAGGGTCATGAATCATAAACGGAACTGCAGAAACCATGTTGAGACACCCAGGGCCCAAATCAGTTGAAGAAGCAGGCCACAAGGTTTGGGTTGGGAACATGCCAAAGACAACTCCGGGAGGGCGGTTTACGCCAAGATCCCGCCTCAGTGTGCCCGTGGCTACCCCAACCCGCCCAACCCGCTTCAGCGTTTGCATCCCAACCAGAACGTCCATATGTTCATGGGTCAAAATCCCGTACCCCCCACTGAACATCCCAATCCCCACTAAAAAAGACTAAAATGGGTGGTGCACCTACCCCAAAATGGTACCAAAGCGATTTTTTGACCCACAGCCACATTACTGCAGGTGAACCTCAAGTTAAACAGAACAATGTAAACAGCCACGACGCAGACTGCTTTGGGTCAATTGAGTCCACTTGGTCATGCTTCCAGCATTTGGAAGCCACCGGTGCCAACCAAAACTCAACAGAGATCCTACATTTTTGGAAAGCTTCATACATCTCATGGCCAGGTCCCCCGTAAAACTTGCAAACGACTCGTGGCTAGACGTCACGCTGCCGCGTTTTGAGCTCCAAAAAAGGGGGAGACCCCTGGCAACGCGTCCTCACTCGAGCAGCTGCGCTGCAGCTGCTTGAAGTCTTCCTCGGCTGTCCCATCGGAACACCGTTGATTTGATTTGGCAAACCCATGGGTTTTTTAGAAGCCAGAGGCAAAAAGGAGACAATGAGCACAGGAAGTTTCTCTTTGATACCTCTTGTGTTGCAACTTGCTTTGCGCCCTTTGCGTTGCGTTGCCACTTGCCTTTTTATTCAACGTCTTCTGCTGCATTATTTCCCAAAACGGAAAAACCAGCACCAGGAAGCGGCTGGCCCTTGTTCGGGGCACTGGGGCCAAGCTTTGTGTTTTTTCTGGTTTCCTTGTGGTTAAAGGTCAGGTCACTTCAATTCAACACGCAGGCAATGAAACTGCAACACCTTTCAGGGAGGCGATCATCTATCCCATCAAAAGGAAGCTCACTACATGTTTTTCCAAAGATGAGGAGGAAATACCCAGACCTTCAGTGACCTTCTTCCGGCAATTAGTTGACCGAAAGGACACCCCCCCCAAAAAAAAAAAAGTTGGTCCAGAAGGGAAAAATCCACTGGCGGTCCGAGACAACCTCGAATGTGCGAGCAAGCTATGTGTCTCCGAGCATCACCTCAACCCACCTCAACACTGCTTGATGGTCCGCAAAAAACAAAAGCAGGTTGCAAACCATAAGATCCACAACTGCAAGAGTCCAGGTGACAAGGGCTGACGCTGGCAACATCCAAAAAATCCAGAAACACTGTGTCCTGAAACTGCAGAACTGGGGAACAGTTCCCCAGTTCAACTGGGGAACTGGGGCCCCGGCGCATTCGGCAACCTGGTTCGCGAAACTCTTCAACACCGCGGCCGGAAAAACAATCAGGAAGTCGACCAAGGTTTTGGCTGAAAATGCCTCAAGAAAAACAAAGAGGACAACTGCATATGGGGCGACTCAACACTCAAGATTTGGGGATGGTGAGGTGGTGCTACTCCAGCAGATCACTTCCAGACTTGCTGGGGTGCATGTCCTGTTGACATGCAGTATAATTATGCATAACGACCAATGAAACCAGCATCAGGAGAAGAGGTGGTGGCCTTGAATCTGTCTCAAAAGAGGCGTCACCCCCTCCCTTCACATTTAAGGGCGGGTTCTCGGTGGGAGCAGCTGCCCGTTTCACGCCCCCAGATCCGGGCGGCACCTCCGCGGGAGTGCCGCTGGCCACTACACGGCCCTCTGACAGCACCTCAGTGCCGGAGAATGGGAAAGGAATAATTCTAGGGCTACCTTCCAATTCCACTCTTTCCAGGGGTCCGAATCTTTTCAGGAAACCACACAAAAACCCAGGGAAACAGATCCGGTGTTTGAAAAGAATGATGGTTGAAAAGAATGGGGAATCAACCCCGAGAATAATGGGAACCCTGGATTAATAAACCCAAGCTTTCTCAACAGCGGGGTCCCGGGTTTACTCGGGATTCATCACTGTTGGAGCGGAACACCCCCCCGAACAATCAGGCTTGTTCATCCGGGGTCAACATTGATTGAAATCAGACCTTAGCGAGGCAAACTCGCAATCGCAAATCACTGCGTTTTCAAATCGCTGTGGGTTCAAAGCAGGGAATCGCAAATGCAGCGATTTCAAATCGCTAGCTTTGAATCGCTGCTTAGGGGACGCAGAAAGCATTGGTTTTGACATTGCCTTGCTTTCTCTGCACGGGAAAGGGCCAAAAGTGATATCTGAAGCCACAAGCTTTTGCGTCTGAAGGATCTTCCTGGATTCCCAGTCGCCCTCTGAATCGTTGCTTCGGCCTGCAACTATTGCAGACATTGGTTAGCACATATCCCCTGAAACTAACTACTATTCCCCAAATCGCTGCGATTCACCTTGGGCTCGCAGAAATCGCAAATCGCAATCGCACAAATCGCCGCGTTCCCGCCGCGCTAAGAATCAGACCCGTTCAAAACCTTTGGAGGTGTGGGCAAAATAGGGGGACCCAAAACTCCTGGTTTACCCTGCCGAACCAGGAAAGGAGAGGGGGAACTTCGGGCGAAAGTCGCAAAAAGCAAATCCGATCCGGTGTTTAAGGTCATGGGCAGTATCCTCAGCGGAACCTTGCTGGAACTGCCGCAGTCGTACCGTGAAGGATGTTCTGGGCTGTTCCCTCGCTGAATTCATTCATGCCTTGGGTTGGTGGTGATAACGATTTCAATCACTTGCTCTTTTGCGGGCAATGAGGAACCACCCCCAAACCTCCAAATTCTGCCCGTTATAAGTCACGACCATGGTTGCAAGGGAACCAACCCCTGTTGCTGTAACCATACCCGCGCGAGTTTGTCCCTCAAGAGGGAAACCGCAAAATGGTTGGGTTTCCACGCGGTGTCCCTTCAAAACCAACCAAAAAGCATACCACAAAAAAGGCAAAAGGCAGACCCATTCCCCAAGGCAGAATATCTGGACCCATGTTGTTACCAGCAAAGTCACCGCCCCCCCCCCCCCCGAAAAAGTAAACAACTTGCTGACTTTGATATGCCCTGGCAACAGAAGCAACATGACCATACTGTGGCCAAAACCCATTCGCGCCAGGGACGGATACAGCCCGACTGGCTGCCTGCTTAAAGGGGCCCAGTACTGAGTAAATGAGTCACAACCATGTTTCTAAACCACTTGAAACGACTTACAACCATGGCAAGTGGCTTATATCCATGGCAAGTTACCCACTTAACTGGTTGACACAACGCCTACCAGCGCAACCCACATGCAGCGACCCCCCGACCCGCGCCCAGCCGAGCTCGGCGCGTAGACCCGGTCAAACTTCCGGAGCCTCTCCTTGGGCTCATGACTCGTGGCTCGTTTGCGCAGTTCGGTCAGCGGTCCGGGAAAGGGGTGTTTGGCTTCAGAAAACAAAGCGGCAGTTTGCGTTTGGGGCAATTTGATTGCCGCAAAGCCGGGCAAGCGCTGCGCTTACTACGATGTGTGGGGGGTGCCAAACCAAAGCATATTGTTGTGCTTTGTCTCTCTTTTTGAGGGGGCTTCGCTGTCGGGTCTTGAGGAAGGATCAAACATAGATCAGGTTGCCAAACCAGCGGCTGGGGCCTTTTAGCAGCTCCCATAGCGAAACAACTGGAACTTGGAGACATGCCCAGTCCGCCAACACGCTGTGCTCAATTGAGCCCCGCAGCCCATTGACTTGAGCTTCTACCAAACTTTATCTTGCTGGTTCGATAGGCAGGGAATGAGAAATGGAATGCCCCCTCGAAAAGACCATCCCCTATGGCTTCCTTCAAGGGGGGTCCCCTTCCAGTTCATTCCCAAAACCCGGAAGGGCATTCCCTACTGAGCACCAGCAGGATATATAGGCAGGACATAGCACAACTTGCCATGGCCCAAGTCGAAAACGAAGCACTTGCCAAAGTGGCCAAAGTAGAACCACCTAACCACTTGCCAACCTGCCCTGCTTTGCTGCTTTGTCCCATGCTCAAGCTTCAAGTACGGCATATTACGGCCTCAAAAACCATTGGTTGGGGGGTGCTTGAAACCTGGAAATAAGAGGTGCATCACTAAAAGGCACCTGATCCTGTTCAGCTGTAAAGTGCAACCTACTCTCCTACAGATGAACATGGAACACAAAAGGCCATCCTTGTACAGGAATCTTGGGGCAACCGATGCTAATCTCGGTTGCCCCTTAAGAACCCAAGAATCAAAGGTAGTCACCTTTTGCGGCCACCAAAAATCGGGAACCCCCCCCCCAAAAAAAAAAGGAAACCAAAAAATGGAACCAAGAAACATGGGGAACCAAAAATGGGGAACCAAAAGCTCTTCCCCGGGCGCGCCAAGGGGCCACCTCTGGCTGCAGCACCACCAGCTTGGCGCGGTCCGCCAGCAGCGGCCCGCAGAGCAGCTCCTGCGCCCCCGGGCGGGAGCTGGGCGTCAGAGGCTCAGACGCCACCCGAGGGACAGAAGCCAAAACTGCTTTTTGTTTTGGTTTCGTTCTCCTTTCTTTTTTTTTGGGGGGGGGGAGAGGATGGGGAAATATCTGTGTGTGTGTGGTGTTTGTTTGCGTGCTTGCGTGGTTGTGTCTTTCTTTCGTTCTTTCGTTCTTTCGTTCTTTCTTTCTTTCTTTCTTTCTTTCTTTGTTTATTTCTGTTCTTTCTTTCTTTCTTTGTTGTTATTTCTTTCTTTCTTTCTTTCTTTCTTTCTTTCTTTCTTTCTTTCTTTCTTTCTGTCTGTCTGTCTGTCTGTCTGTCTGTCTGTCTGTCTGTCTGTCTGTCTGTCTTTCATTTTTACTTTGATTCTGTCTCTATTTATTTATTTCGTTCTCTCTTTATTTATTTATTTTTTCTCTGTGTTGTCTTTCTTTGTAATTTTATGCGTGTTTCTTTCATTCTTTGTCGCCTTCTCTTTCTTTATGCATTTCTGTTATGTATTCTGTCCTTTCTTTGTTTCCTTTATTTCTTGCTTTCTTTAAATTCTTTCTTTTTTCGCTTCTCTGCTATTCGTTTTGTTTTGCTATGTTCTTTCTTTCTTTCTTGCTTTCTTTCTTTCTTTTGTTTGTTCCTTCGTTTGTTCTGTTCTTTCTTTCCTTTCCTTCTTTCCTTTCTTTGCTTGCTTGCTTGCTTGTTTGCTTGCGTGTTTGTGTGTGTGTGGGGGGGGACAGGAGCACTTATATTGTCTTGGGGGAAGGTCATTAAAATTGGACAACACTGGGATCGGGGTGTTGAGGGGGGCAGTTGTATGCAAAGTATATGCCAGTTAATTCCCTCCAAAATCACCCCGGGCGGAAATACATGTCGGTTGGCGAGCCCACACTTCTGTGATTGCTGGGAAGAGTATGTCATGCTCGTATGGGTCTGTCTAAAATAGGGTGACCCCCCCCCAAAAAAAAAAAAAAAACACAAAAAACAAAGGTGGGTGCTCCGTCTGTTTCCCTTTACACCAACGCCAAAATGGGAACCCTAAATAAAGACACACAAACACCAACACACACACACACACACACACACACACACACACACACACACACACACACACACACACACACACACACACACACACACACACACACACACGCACGCACGCACGCACGCACGCACGCACGCACACACGCACGCACGCACGCACGCACGCACGCACGCACGCACGCACGCACGCACGCACGCACGCACGCACGCACGGCACGCACGCACGCACGCACGCACGCACGCACGCACGCACGCACGCACGCACGCACGCACGCACGCACGCACGCACGCACGCACGCACGCACGCACGCATGCACGCACCCACACACACACACACACACATTCGGTGGTTTTGCAATGCTCAGTTGCCCAAAGATCTAAAAGATTAACCTGTTGGGGCCGTGGCTACAAGCGAAAAGGTCAAAAGGTCTTTGAGGCTTAGGGAAACCACATGTCTTGAATCGTTCCCCCCCATTTGGAGACAACCCCCATGGGGTCGTCAGGGTGCTCGCTCACTCCCTATGTGTCCGCCTGGGGTGTCGGACATCCCCCTAGTAACTTAGCACAGAGCATTCCACTTAGATCCAGGGTTCCCATCTAAACCCCCTCCTCCAGGATCCAGGCTGCCGTGGGCGCGTCCACAGACCCGAAAGGGTCCTCAGGCCAGCTACCAGGGGTGTGTCTGTTGCAAAAAGGCTTCGGATTTTGCTTGCTTCCCCCTGCTTTGTTTGTTTTGTTGCTGTCTTGACTGGTTGGTTCATGGATTGGCTGGCTGGCTGATGTTGGCGGGGTGGTTGTATGTTTGGTTGGTTGGCCGATTTGTTTGGGCACGGCTGCTTGAGAGCAGGTCACCTTTGTATGGGCGCGAGCTGCACGATTTGAAGCCATTGTGAAACTCGCATGTGGTCTTTTGGACTTGGTACCTTCGTATGGTTGAACACTTTCGTCCACGCCCGGCCTGCATGGCACAAATCAATCCACTTGCGTGACATGGTCGGCTCAAACTAGAAATGCTAGTGCAGGAGTGGCATCTTCCCATGCGCCCGCCCGGTGCTAGCACAAAATGACACGCCTACCAGTAATGAGGGGGGGCATAAACAGCAAAAACAGTAGGCATGAAACACAACAAACAAAAGCAAAGAAAAACGCCGGACAAATCCAACCAGGGTTTTGTCCATACCGTCTGGGTCCTTCTCGTCCCTACTTTCCCGTGTTTCTTTCGTGGTTTGGGGGCCTTGGTTTCGCCAAGCATCGTCCAGCAGCACCAGTTCCTTGGCGCGAATCTTGGCAAGCAATGCGGACGGCCAGAATTATGCCCCATTCAAGGCAAGTTTCAGGTATGGCAGGTGTGGGTTTCCGGGTTATGGAGGTTGAACACCGCTTCTTTTTGGCGGGATACACTGCCTTACAAGCTTGTATTGGCAAGGATCCATCTCTCGAAGCCTTACCTGGAAATGTGCTTGAAGTTGGGATGGATGAAACTCCGTTTGAATTCTGGGAGCTCCATGTGGTGCGAATTGGATGTTGCCCATCCGCACCAAGCACTGGGCACAAAGCCCCAAGAGACCTGGGGCTCTGATAAATGTCAACCAAGCGCAAACCGTAGGTGTGGTTTAAAATAGGTGGCCCTGGTAGATTCTGGTTTACGACCAGGTCAACCAGGAATCCCCGTTGTTTTCTGCCAAAACAGGACACCTATGACCAAAAACCGGTATAATCCACCCATGTACCAAACTGACCGCTCCTTGGACACCTGGGGGCGGGGCCCTTTTGGTCAGGGAGGCCTGCTTCTGCTAGCCAACGCCTTCCCCTAAACTCCCGCCACGGATCGATTCCGAAAACATTGCCTCGTGCACGAGGAACACCCTGGTTAAACACTTGAAACTTGGGGGTTGCCTTACTTCCGCCGGCTAACAATCTCGGATCTTCCTGGACGGAAACCAGAGAAAGATGGGCAATCTAGTGGGGAAAGGGCCACCGGGTTTGAAGGTAAGTTGAGTAAATGCGAAATAGCCGCACTCCCTTTCATGTCTCTTCTGGCTGCATCTTGCGAAATTTGCCTCGGACCCCGCCCCCCCCCCCCCCCCCCAACCCCCCCCCAGCCCCCACCAGCCCCCCCCCCGCCGCCGAGCCGCCGCCTGGGAGTTGTAGGCGGCCCGTGCCAGCGCCACCCGCGCGCGCTGACCCCCCGACAGGCTGATCCCTCGGGCCCCGATGAACGCCTCGTCCCCGCCTCACACCAAACGCGTCGCGCGTCGAGAAAGCCGAGCGCGTGGAGAAAGCCGGGCAGGCGCGTGGGTCTTGAAATGGTTTGGAAGCTCTGGATGTTTGCGGCTTCCTGTTTCCCTAAGATTAAGCCGAAAAGGGGCCTCATACAAATTGGTTGGCCAAGCAAAAGTTGAATTCGTTCACGTGCTTGGTCTCCTGTGGGTTCCCCTTTAAAGCCATCCAAAACAGGGGTCCGAGACATATGTTGAGGCAGACAGCATTGGTCGACGAAACCGCCTAGGAAA